TTACTAGAACTCATATTCGGGATTGTTTACAAATCTTTCTTTCATCTCACCGGTGGTGGCTCTTTATATTCATATTTTATGAAAATGATGGACTTCATCTCTGCATTGTATTTTGATGTAAATTACATTTCTTATTTGGTATTTAATTGTCTCATATCTTACTTTTGGCATTCCTCTGTGTGGTATACTGTGTTATGGCTCCCATTATTTCATGCATGAGTGACCTTGGTTTCTCTCTCGCCCTTCTTCTTTTGTTGATGCTTCAGTCGATGACTGTGTGTTTTTGCAATACATTTTGAATATCTACAAACATCATCTATTCTTCGAGTTCACGACACAACACTCTGCAAACCAAAAATTGATCATTATAAAATTCTAGAATGTTCTACATTTATATTTAGTCATCTGAATTTGTAAATCTTAAAAATAATAGTGTGAGCGGGTATGGACTTTGATGAACGCCTGGTCGTATCATCCCTCCTGTCTATACCAAATTATTTTATTGTTATTATTACGATGACTGCTATTTCATTTTGGTTGACGAAATAATAAATCTTTCTCTCGCATCGTAACATTTTTCATATACTAATAAATACACTAATAAAATCTCAAGGGCCTTTAAAGTATTCATGATCCGGCTTGGCTTCGTCCAAAATATTACGAAACATCATACAAAAATAATCGTGATTTTTGTAACACTGAAAAACCTGATAGACCCTAGAGTCGAGATGGCCAATTGCCTTGTTCCAATAAAAATGCTGTGTTTCCCCCAAAAAACATCGTATCGTAACATTTTTTATATAATAAATACATTAATAAATTATTAAGAACCTCTAATGGCATCATGATCCGGCCCTGCCTTTGTCCAAAATATTGAAATACCATAGCTATGAAATACCATAGGGCTCGGCGGTGTGGCGCATCGTGCTTAGCGTTAAGGAATACGCTCGCCGCCGCATCTCTGATTACACTTCGTGGGATTGCAGGTTCGAATCCCATGCGGGGATGATCATGTGCGAGAGGATTGCTGGACTCCTCGCCGCCGTAGGGTGGTTCACGTAACCGCCGGTCGGTTACGGCTTCCTCTACCATCAAGTCCATGCTTCCGACAACAAATACCTGGCTAACTAATCCCATACTCGACCTGGACTGGTAACCGGACGAGAGGCCTTGGTTCGCTATATGTTTCAACCATCTTATCGGCTTTCCTCTCCCCCGGGATAAATATGTAAATCCTATCTCCTATCCTATCTTTTTTGCAATTAAATTGAAATCTGAGCTGACCAAAAGTGCGACTGTACATTTTTACTGCCTGTAGAACGGCGTCACTCGTAAGTTGCGCTTTTATACATTGTACGTTTTTCTCGTTATATTTAATTTATGTCTTTGTTCATTGTTTCTCTGACAAATCAATGAATCTTTTCCTTTCTGCCTCGCACAATTTAAAATTAAGAGGAAAACATCGGGTCAAAGGTCGCTCAGTACTCATTCAGCTTAACACTGCCATCTAGCGGACGTGCAGAATTGATAGTAATTACTAGTGACGTTGCCAAATATTCCCATGAAAGGTAATCAATGTATAATATATTAAAGCAATTTTTATGCACTGAACCTGTAATATTTTGCATTAAAATTTTTTAAATGTGCAGACCAAATACTTACAATGCTAATGAAGTGAATTTAGGTTCTTGTATAATTCTAAAATCTGGCAAGTGCAGATGAATTGAGCGAGGCTGTAAAGAGAGGTCAAGGAACGAATGCACGTTTTTCACGATTGAGGAAAGGAAAAACAATGATTATTTTCTTAATATGCGGTACGAAGCTATGTGGATCGTTTTGAAATCTATTATGGGATCATGCGCCCTAGTCGACAGCAAGAGACCCCACGAGTAGACTAGTTGTATAGGGTAGGTGTCTAATTCAGTAATTCTATATTTACCGTATGCAATTTGGTGGGCGTCTGTTTTTTTTTTTTGCAAATTCTGAAATTTCCGAGCTAGGCGTTTGTAAATCATTCGATCCCGCGAAAGTGGAAACCTATAAAACAGCTACGGTAAATATTTTTTATGGGCACCTCAGCACTCAAAGAACTTGAATAAATATGTTCTGCCATATCACTGTATCATTACTACAGGAGTGGTGACTCTTCTACGGCCCATGGGCCGGGGCCACGGTCCAGCTAATTTGGCCCATAGCTTGATAGCCCATGGCCCCATCAGGAAAAATTCAATTATCTTACCAAAATTTTCAATTTTTACAAAATTGTCAATATTCAAACCGAAAAAAATCGGCTACCACATTTTCTCCTCATGATAAGCCTTTATATAATAAAAATAAAGCAAAATACCAAGCAACAGAAAAGGATACTCCTGTAGTATGTGTACCAGGTTAGGGTTAGGACAAAATTTTGTTCAGATTTTTCACATTATAGTTATATTATGATTTTGGAGACTGTCTGTTTTAGCCATGTAAATAGTCCCCTTACACAACTTGATAGGCCGTGGGTCGTAGAGGAGTCACCACTTCCACTCTATCATTAAGCCCTCCTATTGGCTTTCTCTTCTCCAGGCTGCCAGGACAAACACTGTAGATCCTATTTCATGATTAAGTCGGCCTATTAGGACAGGATTTACATATTTATTCCGGGGAGAAGAAATCCGATAAGACGGCTTAGCCATATGGCGTACCACGGCGTCTCGTCAGGTTACCAGTCCATGTTTGGTAACTCAAAAGATTAGTCAGTGACCAGCGATAACATGAACCAAGCTACGGTCGAGCCGAGCAATCCTCTCGCACATAATTTATCCCCCATATGATGTGAACCCATGCAGGGTAATCAGAGGTGCGTCTCCTCCGATATAAATATAGTTCGTCATTCATTTAGCCGTCTTATCCCTTTCTTCTTCAAAAGACCAAAAAAGGAAAACATATTTACCTTTTTTAATTCGCAGCAAATATAATAAGAAAGAATATAAATAGTCTTTGTTGCAGTTCATAAACTTCACAATGACGTTGAGTAAAAAGCGTGACATTTCAAAGTCAGACAAATCTGACAAAGTCGTTAAAGCAAAAAAAGCAAAAGTCGCTGGACCACCTAAAAATATTGCCAAAAGTGACGGAGCCAAAAATAATGATAAAACAGAAAAAAAATTGTCAAAGGACACAGCTGCTACGAGAAAAAATAGAAAAATGACTCGAAAAATGCAAAAACCTAATTATGAGTTATCAAAAGAGACTTTAAAGCAATGGGAAAAGCTTCGAAGAAACAAAAATAAAATGACGAAAGCGGAAAAAGTAGATCTTGTAGATGAATTGATGAAAACCGTTAAGAAACAAGACAAAAAGTTGGTGGATCTGATGTTCGCTCACGACACATCGCGAGTTCTACAAAGCTGTTTAAAACAAGGTAACGAGGAACAGCGACAGTCAATTTACGATGAATTAAAATCTGAGATCGTAAACATGTCGAAAAATCGATATTCGAAAAATATGGTGTGGAAGTTTTTAAAATACGGATCGTCCAAACAGAGAGATGAAATCATTCATGCGTTTGCAGGATTGGTTCCGAAATTAATTCGAAAACCAGGACCGGCGAGTGTGATTGAGTTTGCGTATAATATTTACGCCAATAAGGAACAAAGGAACTTTCTAGTTCAGCAGTTGTACGGGAATACATTTAACGTGACGAAATCAAACGACAGTTCGACACTTGAGGATGTTTTTAAAGAACAGCCAGAGAAAAAGTCGATGATTCTCAGCAATTTTAAGCAGTGTCTGACTCCGTTGGTTGATAAGGAGGTTATTACTCACACAATCGTTCATCGTGTTTTTAACGAGTTTTTCACGTTTTGTGACGAGGAGCAATTGCGTTCGGAAGCGATCGAACTTCTGCGGGATTCTGTGATTCATATGATGCACACGAGAGATGGTGCTCACGTCGCTATGCAGTGTCTATGGCATGGAACGGCCAAAGACCGAAAAGTCATTGTTAGAACGATGAAAGAGTTCATTAGAAAACTGTGCCAAGAAGAATACGGACATCTAGCTCTTCTGGCTGCGTTCGATTCTGTCGACGACACAGTTTTCATGAACAAAGCCTTGATTGCTTCCATCGTGAAAATGATTCCTGAAATCATAAATAACAAATACGCAAGAAAAGTCCTTTTGTACTTGATCTCTCCCCGAAACAAGTCACATTTTTTGCCAGAAACCGTCGCGTTTCTGTCGCAAGGGGATGGAAATAAACACAGTAAAAAACCAATGGAAACAAGACATAAAGAGCTAACTGCCATTATTTCTCCTGGACTTGTTTCCTACTTGAAGGACAACATCAGCACTCTTGCTCGAGACAAGTCATTATTTATGTTAGTCGAAGCTGCTATAAACCACTGCTCTACAGATGTTTCTGAATTAATTTCAGCATTGATAGAATTGTTGTCGGTACCTTTCGAAGCTGGCGTTACCGATAGCAACGGGAAATTACATCTTGTGGAAGACCCTGCTGGACATCTACTTGTCAAACGACTAATCTCCCATAAACCTGAAGATAATACACCAGTATCATTTGCAAAGAGTTTGTTACAGGAGGTCTCTTCGGAAAATATCTCCTCCTGGTGTTCCTGTAACAGAGGAAGTCAAGTTCTGTTGAGTCTCATACAATGCCCGATAGAAGAAGTTGCTTCAAAATCTGCGAAGATTCTCAAAAAGAATTTGAAGCTTTTGAAGAAGAATAAAAAAGTAAAGTCGACGGAATTACTGATTGAAAAATTGTCAAAATGAAGATTTGAAGAAATTCAAGAAGTCTTCTAGAGTAGAACTCTCTTTTTTAGCTTGTCAATTGGGTTTCTGCAGAACTAACGAATTGGCACTATGCTTTTGCACTGATGAATGCCTATGGTGCAAGGATACTGTAACAAGAATGAAGTCAACTACTCTAGTCTTGCTGCATAATAACACAAATACATTCTGTGTGACCAGTGAGACCACCTACTTATTTTCTATGCCTTTGTGCTGGTGAATATGCAAGGATACCATAGCAGAAGTAAAGATGACCCATAAAAGCCCAAACTCTCATTTCTAGAACGCTAAATGCAGACAGTGGTTGAAAACTCTGTTGCGGCTTTTCGCGAAAGACACTTTCAAGGACATGCTAATTTAAAAACGATTTTCTGTGGGAATGTAGTTTCACATAAACAGACATGCTCTGTTCCACATTGATTACTCTTTAGTGACTCAAATTGTAAATGTTTATTTGGTTCCATTGCTGTAAATTTACAAATTTGAAAATTCAAATTTAGCATTTTTGAATAAAACTAAAATGGCCTACTTCACTAGTTCCATAATAATAAAACCATGTTTCTGAACAAATTATTTTGTTTTTAGTTTTTTTGGGATAGTGTGGAGGTGATTACGTATATGATTGGTTTATGAGTAATTAAGTCAGTGAATGTCTGTAAGATTATTTTCAGTTGGGAATTTGTTTTTGCTCCTAACAACAAAAAATTAATTAATTTCATTTAAATTCGTTTACAACTTTACTCAATAATTATTATTATTCAATCATTCTACTCTAAAGACTTTTTGACATTTTTTCAATCTGTTGTTTTTTTCTGCAGATATATTAGTAGATTAAACTAATTTTTATTGGATTATTATATCACAATGGATGATGAAAATTGGCGGGAAAAGATTCAAGAAAGAATTGACATTGCGGAAAAATTGTTTGAAAAATCGACAACTTTTGCAGATGAAAATTTAACGGGTTCTATGAAATTGAGCAATCGAATAAAATCAGAGTTACGATTTTTGAAAAAAATAAAAAGCGGAAAAATTGAATTTAAAGATGATCATCTTAGCAGCTCGAATTTAACAAGCTTAGAAGCTCTCGTTACTTGTATTGAAGATACGAAGTGCATCAGCGCCATCTTGTGTCCATTTCATGTTGGTATTCAAAATGGAGACGACGAAGAAATTTTCGACCAAGAGCGAAAAGTTATTGTTGACATTGTTTGCAACGACGGGAGCACTTGGATGAAAGTTGTTGCTCGCAATGCGAAAGCGCTTCTTACAGCTTGGGAAGGGAGGGGAGGCTTCGGAGAGAAGAGCATCATCACTCAAGCAGAACTTTTATTGGCTACAGCGAACACAAATTTAAACAATTTCCACCCTCCAGAAATACATTTTGTGTTTTATAAAGGTGTTCCGTTAACCATCGCAAATGGGTTACAAAAAATTGGGATCACAGTCAAAGGAAATATAGTCGACGACCAAAACTTCGAAACAGAGAATTTATTGAATAATTCGAAATTAATTTGCCCAAAATTGGAATCAAAAAAGCACAAAACAACTTCTGTAAATTTAGACATTACTGCGTTATTATGCTTAGTGTCCAACTTGTGCCACGGAAAAAATAATTTCGAATTTGCAGTCCCTGTGCTAACGAAGCAAGCAATAGAGGAACAGAATTCCCCTGTTTTGTCAAAAATTGAGAAATTTATTGAAAATAAAACGCTTTACGCTTGCGAAACTGCGATAAAAAGTTTCAACGATATTGTGCAAACTGTTGGGGGGGAGAAAGAAAAAATACGCTCCTCTGAACTTTTAAAAAAGGTTATCGTTGTCGATGACAACCCGTCGGAAAGAACAATGTTTCTACAGAATAGTGGAAAAATCAATGAGAGGTCAAAGGTTATATTTGGTACGGGAGATAGCCTCAAAGCAGTCACTGTGACAGCAAACACTGGTTTTGTGCGAGCGGCCTCGCAATGTGATGTAAGGTTTAGTGTCTTTATCCATGAAGCAAGAGCATTGACAGAAAGAAAGGAGAAGAGTGCAAAATGCCTGGATTCGAAGAAAAATTTGTAACCTCGCTGGCTAGAATTCGGAAACAAAAATTTAAATTGATATTCGTCTAACCATGTCTTCGAACTTTTTTAATTTTAAAATTTAAAAAAAATGGAACGGCTACTTTGAGCCACATGGAATTGTTGAACAATATAGGAAAAAGTCTTTATTTAAACAATCTAGTCGGCCACCCCACAAGGGTTTGGCCTAAAAAGGATCAATAAATTGAAGTGGGTTAAAAACAAGACACATTAAATATTTGACTAGAAATTGAATAGAAAACTTTTGCAGAGGAGAATTTAGCGGGTTCTTTGAAAATATGCAATCGGAGTTGGGATTTAAAAAAAATTCATCTGGTATATTGTAAATATTTCTTGATTTATACAGGGTATCCATAAAATCCCTTTACAATTTTGTTATGAAGTCTGTTCTCAATGAGAACACCTTATATTGATATTTATTTTTTGAAGTTCTGTTGGTGGTTTAAGACAGCGGTTGTTTTTGTGCAATCTTATTTTTTTAAATATTACACAGTGTTCATTTAATGTGGAAGCCTCATGAGCTTTTTGACAAAGGGATGAATATTGAAATTATATAAAAAAAAAACACATTTGAAATTACATTGAACATTTGAAGTGTGTGTACCAATATGGAGGTAACTAATTTTGTTCATCTACTTTACATCAAGTTGTGTGAAGGGACTGAGACATATGTTGGGGGGAATATTCACTTGGCTAACACAGACAGTCCCCGAAATCGTTATAGAACTAAAATAAGGGAAAATCGGAATAAAATTATACTCTAACCTGGTACACATACTACAGGAATACCCAAAAAATTAATAATGCTTTCAAGCTGATATCTAATCCTAGTTTGAAGTATTTCAAGAATAAAAGTTGAAGATGTCAACTTAAAACAGCTATTTTAAGTTTTCACTTGAAGCTCTCGATATATTATATTGAGTAAATGTGCTTGTGGCAACAGTATTCTTCGTAACCTTAGCTTTTCTCATGCCCTTAGTGTAGTTTCATAGGTGCGGTGGCCCACTGGGTGAAGTGTTTATACCATTACAGGTTATCATCTCTGTTTTGAATCCCATTCATTTAAAAAAATGTTTCTATTTACTTTTCTTTATCTGTTACATTCAAAGAGTGAATCGAAGAATTAGGTATTTTTAAGTCGGCTTTAGTTGGTCAGTTGTTTATATAACCCCAGTCTGCATTGGCATAATTTAGGGGGCTCCCGAAGTATGCGAACCAAGATGGCAGACATCGGAACATAACCTGGGTAACAGGTTAGGGTTAGGCCATAATTTTTTTCCAATTTTTCTTATTTTAGTCCTATTATCAGTTCGAAGACTAGCCAAGAGCCTCCCGTAGTATTTATACCTAAAATTATGGCCTAACTCTAACCTAGTACACATATTACATTGCGATGTCCGCCATCTTGGTTCGCATACTTCGGGAGCACTAAATTTAGGAGTGGCCTATTTTAGTGATGCTTCACACCTTTATGGCTCATATTTTATCTAATACCTAATTACATATCTGTCCCGAACTCTGAAATATTTTCATCGGTGGTTCAGTTTCATCTTTTTACATATAACATTTGGTAAATCTAGAACATCACCTAGTTCAGTGGTTCCCAATTGAAGGCCCATGGCCCCCAAGGGGCCACAGTACAGTTTAAGAGTGGCCAATATACTGGGCGCTGAATTGCTTTTAATTAATGCAATTTTGTTTCAATACTTCTCCCGTTAAAAAACATTACTCTTTCCCTGTAGATCATTTTCAGTGGCATAGCCTTTTCCCTTTTTTGTGCACAAATTGTTTGATAATATTGGAACCTGCCAATCGAATTACCAATATAAACATATTCGCACACTTTGAATTCTAATGTTTGTGATTGGTGGCATACTAGTACATACTAAATACATCATAGACTTGTCTGTATCAATTTCTTAGGGCGAATAAACAGGGACCACAAGTACTGAAAGTCTCTGGAAGGGGGCCACGATCCTTAAAAGGTTGGGAACCACTGGCCTAGTTCATCAGTGGGGCAATAACAACTCGTTTTGAGCAAAATCGATTAAGACAGTGGTATCGATATCTCCCCTTTATCTCATTCAGTCAGTGTCACCTTGCTTTGTTGGATCAGGCATCATTTCATTCTATTTTTTTGTTGATGGTTATTTTCGTTATTATTTATTCCCATCAATTTAAATCTCAGCACGACTCTAGTTTATCTGTAGCCGCTTACAGTATATTTTTATTGATTTAATCTCTCACTACAGCTTTAGTTTATCAGCGGTTGGTTGTTTACAGCAAAACCTAGTAAAATGGGTTGGAATTGGAAATCTCGTGAGATCTGGATGGATAGAGGATACAAATTGGTTTCCTCTAGTTTAATAATCACTACGGTCGTCGGCAGCCTGTTTCTTGGGAATATTGTTTATGAGTAAGTTGAATTTTCATGGTGTGTTTTAGAACAGGGGTTCTCAAACTTTTGATGTTATGGAGCCCGTGAAAAGATTGATTATTATTTACGGATTCTCACAATAAATTTGAAATAAAGAAAAAACATTGTTTTTCACCCATTTGTGACTAAATTAGGATAGGATTTACATATTTAGCCTGGGGGAGAGGATAGCCGATAAGACGGCTTATCCATATGGCGAACCACGGCCTCTCGTCCGGTTACCATTCCAAGTTGGGTATGGGATTAGTTATATTGTTTGTTTTCGGAAGCATGGACTTGGTGGTGGAGGAAGCCGTAACCGCGTGAACCACCCAACGACGGCGAGGAGTCCAGCAATCCTCTCGCACATAACCATCCCTGCATGGGATTCGAACCTGCGAACCCATGCAGAGTAATTAGAGGTGCGGTGGAGAGCGTATTCCTAACGCTTAGCCCGTTGAGCCACACCGCCGCGCCAGAATTAAAATTCCTTGGAGCTTATAGATAATGTCATATTTGAATTACCGTACCGCCTTGTTGACACATTTCGACGCTGCCGTTGTGAAATTTCATTAATACCGTTATTGCCTTTTTGCAAAGCTATAAAATTCGCCAAGTCAGTGTTTTAATAAGTTAACGAATAACTTGGGGAGCCCTTAGGTTACTCTAATGGAGCACTTTCAGAACCTACGGTATGTTATAGATCGGGGTCACTCAACTGGCGGACCGCGGTCCAAATCGGGACCTTTCGAGTATTTGATTCGTACTGCATCTAATTCTTTATTTTGGATCATTAGCCCCACTTTTAAAGTTTCCTTTTATAAAACCATTATTATAGATTTAAATAAATATGAAAAGAACTATAACACCAGGATAAACATTCTTGATTATCCAATAATCATTAGCCGATGGAAGGATGCCGAAATATAATTTCTGGAAAGACCGGACCCAAATAATTTTGAAGTTTTGTATGTGGATCTTGGGTAAAAATAGTTGAGTAGCCCTGGTACAGGCTTTCGGGTTTCTAGATAGCGCAACCAGCGCTTGTCTCTGGAAAATAATCTTTCTGGTTGCAAATATCTACTGTTTTATCAAAATTTGTGTTAACTGTGAGACCCTGAAAAAAGCTCCAACCGAGCAGCTGCAGATATGTGATGCTTTCCCGCTCGACAATGAGTACCCAATTTCATCACCTTTGCCCATGAGTGAGAAGGGGTCCTCAGGCATAGATAGGTCGACACCAAACCCAGTGGCGTATCTAGGGTATGGCAACCATGGCTCGTGCGGTTGGACAGGGTAATTTTTAAATTGGGCCGTGGTCTTAATTTTACGTAAAATATGCCACTGCCTAGCCCCATATGTTAGTGATTCTTTTGCAATCAGTAATGTTTTCATTTTTTCAGAATTTTCAAACGAAGAAAAGAGAGAAAATTAAAATTCATCGAGGGAACGCTGCCTGTCGCACAACCACAGGAACAAGCGATAAACTATAATAATGACGAAGTGTCAAGGAACTAATGAAATGACTCTATCGTGATATGGACTCTAAATGGAATGGAAATGTGTGGAAGTCGATTTATATTCAATGATTTTTTAAATTATTCACGGCTACTATCCATGCCTTTCGCTCCAAGGAAGGCTCTGTACAAGCAGCTACTGTTTGGTTAAGGATTGCCCACCTAATTTATCACACCACTAAATAGTGATTTTCAGGCTATAAGTTGTGCATGCAACCTAGGGCCTTGGTTTTGTGGGTCGGAAATAAGATGTAAAAAGAAAAAAACTTGAACCCCTCTCTGATATTTCCTGGCTATGCCCCTGATACAAGTCAAAGAGTTGTTAGTTTACATAAGCATGTGCAGATAATTGAATATCAAATTTGATTAGATGAATTTAATAAAGTGATTTTTCTATGCATCGTCTCCCTCAGTTGGTTGTCGGACCAGGTATTTTTGTTACAGACACGCTACTATCATGGAAGATTTGTGTTACCGTTGTGTCATCTGTTTTTGACACCCCTCAGAATAGTTAGGACTCAGTTTGAGAAACTCTCACCTATACCAATCACAACAACCTGGGCGTGGCAATAAAAGTCTATTTCAAGCTCTGCTCGCCAGAATCCAGAAGCATAAGAACGCCTAGTGGGTGACATGTGTAAGCTTTGATACCAACAGGGTTAAATTTAAACGCTTTCAACTACTAGGCTCGGGTCATCAACCTTTAGCATTGAAAGAGCCATTAGGCATCCTTTCAGTCATACATACTCAAAGCTGCAAGAACTGAACCTGGGCAGCAACCCCATCCGAAAAAAACTATTCCTTCGTATACTACAATATAAAAACAAATTTGAAACCACAAGATTTATTATGAAATTAAAAATAAAACAGCCCATGCAATGTATGGTCATCACTCCTGTCGAGGATATTGCTGGCCTCATAAACTAACGAAAGCTCGAAGCTTGCTGGCTATTGAAGCGCAAAATTTAGCAGCAATTCAAAGCTCTAGTTCACATTCAACAAATTCTGCAATTCATCCACTTTGAAAATTGAGACAATACTGCAGCTAAACAAAAGACTTGTATTTCATGACTTGCTACATAACACATTCAGGTAAATTTATAAACACCAGCAATAACATTTCTAAATGTTTCATTCCGAATTCACCAAAGCTAGTTCCGTCCTTTCGAGTGTCTGACCTACAACATTGGGACAGACCCAACTAAATTCAATGTCAGAGGAAGAATGTGCGCTTCTTGGCTTACCGGGACCAGTATGGTATAAGCCAGTTTCAACGCCCAGAATTGGTACCCTATAAATATAAGTTAATCATCATCTTGAACAGTACAGAAGGAATATGCAAATGAGGCAAAATCCATATACATTATCATAAGCCCCAAGGTTTTGTGTGGAAATAAGCCTACTTTTAAAATCATGGATCCTTCTAATTAAATCAGCAACAGTCAGCCATAGCTTCAAATAGCTCTTCGCATTTCAGTGGTCTTTGTAACTTCGCTCAGAGATAAGTCTTCTTAAAGAGTGCGCGTGACCTTGCTTAGAGCAAATTTTCTCGAAAAATGAATCTCACAACTAAATTATTGGATCATGATGTTCTTGACTAAGTCATCAAACAAGGCTTTAATAAGAATATGATCCTCATGAATAAGCCATGCCACTCAATGGTCACAAATGCCAGACATTTTCGAAACATTCAAATCCTTATAAGTTGGTCACTCCTGTCGACCAATCATTTGAGTAAGGATGCGACATCATTTGCTTCGGTTTTTCTTCCAAAAGTTTTTCATAATCTGGCTCGTTCATTCCGCCACACGGTGGCTCCGGTTTATAAACGGAATAATAATCGTTCACTTTCGTAAAAAGAACATTTTTATCGTTCAAAAATGATTTCCTTATTGGCTGAACTTGGGTAGTGGGTGCATGAACGTCTAAAATAAAATACATCCCGTTTCTGTGCGTCTCTCCTTCAGATCTTTTCGAAGCTGGCAACCCTCTCGAGCCAAGGCATTGTATTTTTCGAACCACGTTTCCATTATTCATGACGTTCTTTAAAAGTCCTTTCATGGTGCTCACTGTCTCGGGTCTCTCTAAAACTTTCATTAGGAGTGCGATCTCATAGCGAGGCATTTTTATTATTTCTCTAAAAAGTAAAAAAAAAAACAGTTGAAACCGAGTATAAAATTATTTGCTACACTTCACTGCGCAAGAGAATTGCTAGTCTCGTCGCCACTGTAGAGTGGTTCACGAAACCACTGGTCAGTCACGGCTGTCTCCACCATCAAGTCCATGCATATGAAGCAGATAACTAATCTCATACCCAATATGGACTGGTAACCAGACAAGAGGCCGTTCACTGAATATGGTTAAGCTGTATCATCGGCTTTTCTCTCCTCTCAGAATAAATATTAAAAACCTGTGTGATGGAATTGCTGAAATTAGCTCCAAATTTTTTTCAAAAAGCAATAAATATGTTACTCATGATTAGCACTTAGCAGTGATAAATGCAAGGGAATTTAGAGTGGAACTGCCGGTAATCTATTGCTACAAACACATAATTAATTTATGAGAATTAAAAAAATTGGATATATTCTGGAGTGATTCGCATCCAAATCCATATTATTGAACAGCAGTTCCTGACCGGAGCCACAGTGGCAGGCGCATAACTCATTTTACTTCTCAATTTACAAGAAAACTCCTCGTTCTTCCTAATTTCATTGCTCGATAAGGTTATTTCACAGGACGTTTTCACTTTGTTGAGCATGAATTGTTTGAACATAATAGGATTTGAAATCTACCAATCAAAATAACACTGGGATGATGAACAGGAGTGCCAAAAGCCGCCTGAAGGGGCCTCGAGCTGTAAAACGTTGGGAACCACTGTTATAGAATATGAAACATCGAATATATTCAACTCAGAAATAAATTTCATCAATGTGTCTCTGAGTTAGGATTAGATTCTTCTGCGCAGACATATTTCACAGATTAATTAGAGGGCTTCATAAAACCTGAGTCAATGAAAAAAATTATAATAAAAAGAAAGTAAAATATTGCAATAAAAATACAAAAATTTGTTCGTTGATCATCCAAATCAAAACGTCATTGTCAAGTTTAATAACATACAAAATTGAGAAAAAAAATTAATAAAATCAGCACACTTTTTACTGGGGAAAGGAAATGCGGAGAACCAAAACTGGTTATCATTATCCCGAATGCGTTCTTCGTGTTGTTCATTTGAATTTGTTGAATTATTTTGGCAGTGTTCATATTTGTCAAGAGGTACATCGCACAATCGTGTTTCAATTAAAAGTGTCGCACATCTCGCATATAAGCCGAAACTACAAATCAGAACACGCTGGTTGCGGAAGAAAATCTGAGTTATGCTAGTATAAGCCAACCACTTAGTTTGGCAACTTTTTTTTGAGTTGTAAACTCATCTTATATGCAGGATTGCAGGGTATATGAGATATGCCCATCTTGACCCATAACCCCTCATGCGTTCAATTATACAATTTGTTATTCATTGAGGCAAACCAAATATATTCATTCAATATTTGGGCGTCAAATCATGAAATACTCTTAGAATTTCACCGTGGTAAAGTATGGAAAAAAATGATCAGGAGTCAGAGGATAACCATAAGCTTTCCCCAGGAGCCATCTCAAGAATCAAATAAGCATGGAATGACAGAATACGCTGTTGGCGATTAAGTAGAGATTATTCTGACCAGTCACAGTTCAATGATTACTCATGTAAAAAGGAGAGATCAAATTGGAACTAAAGATATGACAGATATATTAAATGGCTGTGTTTCATAGCAAAGTCACTCTAGGTCTGTATTCTAGTAACAAAGGCTGTGCTTTTGAGCGCCATCGAGTGACGAGAACAAATTTTAACGAGTGATCTCGTCCAAGTATTTCCTCATTGCATAAAATATCAAGTTCGCTCGTAATTCCGATATTTTTTGCAACAAATTTTTTCAAAATTTTAATCGTAGCGTTTACAGAACAAATCATAAATGGTTTTTCCAATGTTTTTAATTTGTCACTCCCACGGACGAGAGAGATTTGAATTTGTTCGTCATGACGATGGTAGTTTTGAGATTTTCCTCGATCTTCTGGTGAAGTTAAATTTTCCGTTTTGATAGCGACAACATCTTTTCGAGGGCAGTCCAATCCGCGCTCATGATAAAATTTTTCCTCCCTTGCTGTTTCAAGACGCTGTAAGCTCGGAACTAATTTGTTGACGACATCTTGAAGTGTTCTGTCGTAACCAATATATTGTAGCGGATGGCTATGATGAATTTGATTTCCGCATTTCGGGCAATCATAATTTTTGCTGAGTAATCGTTTGATGAGACAGCTTTTACAGAAAGTATGTAAGCAGTCTACGATGGTTGTTGCTTCTATAAGGTATCCGCCACATACGAAGCAGGTTATATGCTCGTTAAGATCTCGAAGTTTGACGTTCCGGTCCAATTGAAGTTCCATGTTGTCTTGAATATAAAATTAAATTTACTGAAGTAATTAATCACTGAAAATAACAAGCATTTATAAATTCTATTTCTCTTGAAGGAAAGGGCACGTTGCAAGCTACCTCTGACATCATAGAACAGAAACAAAGTGAGCTAAGTACCGTATCGTGACATTTCTTGACATCATCAAATAGAATTGACTCTTCTCAAAAAATATGAAGAATTTCTTTTAATGAGATTTGGTGATTATAAAATTCAAATCTCACTCCTTTTACTCATTCTATTGTGTCTTTATTACTTCTTTTGGCAACAATACTGTAGGCTTTAAACTTTCCTCAAGGTTTTGTTTGCTGTCCTAATTTTGTTATCAGTTTGTTTTTATTTATTTTTACCAAGAAATATGGGTACAGAATACCGGTATAGGTACGCATACCGATATAGCGTCTTCAATTATGCTGATTACGGAGCCGAAATAAACATATAAAAATACATAATATTAACGCATGCATCCAAGTAATCATAATCAACCTATTATTATTAATCTATCCAAAGCGTATCCAATCCTATTTATTCGAATACGGCATTTAATATGGAAAAAACTCATGCTATTCAGCCAGATCTTCGCCAAAATCGTTAATTTGCTCCATAGTGTCGCCATGTGTCAACATTGTGGAACAAAAAAAAATTGAGATTTACATATTTATTTTCAATTTGCAAAAATTAATTATGTACGGTAGAATTTCGCAAATATTTTGATATTAGGCGCAAATGTGAAACAGACAACGCTCGCCAGGGTGATTTTTTTATTTTTGGTTTTTTTATTTTATTTTTTTATTAATAAACGCATCACTTTTTATCCACATGATAACACATAAACACAATTGCACTTAAAAAAATGAGTTTATGATAACTTTCCACTTCTTAATGTGGTTCGACAGTTTACATTTTTTAGTTGCAATAATTTTCTCACAGTTAAATATACTTTTTATCATATATAAAAAATGATCAAATTGAGGCCTTTCATTTCGTAGTTTACATGTATAGATATACTGTAATGGACCTTTCCCCGAGCATCGACTTCCTCGTTTACCTCGTGACATTGGCCAATCAGCAAGATGTAAAAAGTGACGTAACAATGCCCCCTTTTCGCATCCGCTCAGACACTTTTCTCACTCAGACAGATTTTCAAGCGTGGTTGTAAACATTACCTCGTTTTCGCGTTTTTGAACTCTATTCGTTAGTTTTCAGTTGTGTTTCGGAAACTTAAATAAAAATTAGATAATTCAATGATTACTCTGTCTTCCTAGGAGTTTTAATTTAATTGCAGTAATGAAAAATAGTGTAGAAATAGCTGTGATAGACTATCCTGAAATTCTTTACCGGTACTTTTAAAAAACAGATTGTTGTATGCGATGAATCATAATGATGGTTTGAAACACATACCCCATCTACAGGCGCTCGCTCGCAAAAGCACTCTTAAAATAGCCCCGAAAATGTTGCAATGGTAAAGTATGGGAAGAATTTTCCGGGGTTCAAAGGTCGGGGAAAGGTCCATCAGGTCATTTGTCAGATTTTAGTTTCTTTAGGGTCAAAGGTTGGAAAAGCAGTTTGCCTTCCTTACTTTAGCAAACTTGGAATTTATGTGGATTTTAGCACATCGTAGGGTTTCGTGATACGTTAGTTATGTATTTTATCTGCGCAGCTATAAAGCTATGAGCTACCGATATGTGCAGTACTACGGTACCGGTACTGTATACCGTAGGTATTTATTTGTAAACTAGTGAGGTAGTCCTATAATTCCAGTACATAGATTTCTGGATTTGCTTGACAGTGAACTTAAAATGATATCAGGATATAGCACTTCCACTGGCAGACTGGTATATACTGGAATAAATAGCTTTAATTCTTACTTGGATAGCCTTTGTGTGTGCTAAAAATTTAGTTTGTAGTAGGTGGGTAATTCAATTGAATTGTTGTTTTTCGCTTGCTTTTTTTTCATTGGATTTTTGAAAAATAAAACAATATTGCAATAAACAATATCATTCCAGATCACTCTATGCATACCCATTTATTTTGGATTTTTATAAAATAAAACATTATTGCAGTAAACAATATTAATAAATATTATTTCATCCTATCTAGGCTATAAATTAAGACCCTTCAGTTTCGTACCTAACGTACTTCTAGTAGGCGTAGCATAACAACTCTTTGATATGTCAATCCTAACCCTCACCTGACTAGGCCATCCAAAAATTACGTCACTATGACGTCACAATCACATCATAGAGCTTGCCAAATACTCGTAAGATCGCCCGAAATGGCATCGGCGCCAACGATAAACAGATAAAAAACTGACCAACGTCAGCGATCTCGTCTTCGGGTTCTCGTCTGCTCGTCTTGGATGACAGTGTGGTGTGGTCAGGTGGGGGTTAGGATTGATACATGAAGAAATTGTCATGCTACGCCCACTAGAAGTATGTTAGGTACTAAACTACATGAGACCCATAAATTAATACGGTAACAAGTCATCTCAGACGACTTTATACATAGACTATGGGTTATTATAATAATATAATTATCTGTTTATAATATTAACATTACTGCAATCATTAAATACACTCCACTTTTTTCTATGTATGTGAAGTTTGCCAGTTTTCATTTCTTGCTGACGTTCATCTGATGGTCATCTAAATTTTTTCTAAAATCAAAATTGAACATCTCTTGAGTCTAGTAAAGTAAGCGCTGTAACTGCTTAATTAAAAATGTGATGTGAAATTTTAATGTAGAAAAGATCTAAATAACACCCGTATTGACTTACTGTAGAAAATGCGAATAGACGGAGAACATACCATCAGTAGTCAAGTTCGCCTTCCGTATATCCCATGGCTACATGGCGTTTAGTGTATAGTATTCGCGCAAAACGGACTTCTTTTTTTTTTTCAAATTTGGGTGCATTTGGCAATATTTAAGTACTTACAGCATTCATTTTTACATCTCATTTGTGTTTGGTGTTATTTAAGCAGTTACGACATTTACGTCGCAAGACCCTATCTGTTGATTACTATTAAACAACATCTGTTTCCAATTTGTAAGACATGAAGATGTCACAATACAAGGAAAAAATTGATTTTAATTTTTTTTTTTCAGTAATTTATTTAAAATATGAGTACGATCCTAGAGTCTGGCATGGAGGCGTCAACGTCAGAGCGAACTCAGTTCTTTCATCAGTCGGCTCGGCATGAAAGTGAGGGCGATAAAGAGCACTTCTCTGACTCCGAAGTTTATATTACGCACCAACATGAGCGTCATGACAAGCGTTTGAAACATGGATCAGATTTGAACACCAAACCCCACCTAGAGGATGAAAATTCTTTTCAATTTGTATTTTATTTAGCGCATCGTTGCATTTCATGGATGCAAATTGTGACGAAAGATCGATCCTCGCAGACGATTGTTTCATTCATTCTGGGTGTTGTTCTCGGGATCACTCTAACAGCTTTATTATTCCAGCACCGATTTCTGATTGGGGGGATGGAAACGAAGAAATCTGAATATTTTTTTGATGACGTATTAAAACACACCATTCCATACGAAGTCAGGTTAAAAGAAATTAATAATATGATGGGTAAGGATCCGATTATGGAGCCTGAATTTGGAAAAGAGAGGGGAGATTACCCTGTCGTAAAAGCTGATAGCCCAAAACATGTAGTTGAAGAACCCCCATCTGAAGAGACCGTCCCTAAATCGATAAATAAAGAAATAAATTTTGGTTCCAAAGTGTTCGTTGGGGTTATTACTGCTGAAATTTTCCTCGGATCACGAGCAATAGCAGTGAATTCAACATGGGGGTCCCAAGTCGATAAACTCTCATTTTTCACCGAGCTTGGATCTGCAGAGAAATATGGCGTTCCTGTGATTAACCTAGAGGGCGTTAGCGATAGGGAGTACCCCCCACAGAAAAAAGCGTTCAAAATGTTGAAACACATGTGCGAGAACCATATCGACGATTATGATTGGTTTATTAGAGCTGACGATGACGTCTATATCCGCGTTGAAGAGCTAAAAGAGTTTCTGGGCTTGATTGACAGCAATAAACTAATCTACATGGGTCAACCGGGGCATGGGGTCCCAGAAGTACGGGACCGACTTGGCCTAAACGGACATAATTTCTGTATGGGCGGCCCTACGGTGATGTTCAATCGAAAAGCACTCAAAAAACTGTGCCCACATCTCGATGAGTGTATGGCTGAGGTTGTCTCTGGTGAGGAAGATGTTGAAATAGGTCGTTGCGTGAGTAACCATCTACATATTGAGTGCACTCACGCTTGGGAGACTTTGAAATTATTTTATCATTCCTACCAAGAAGAATACACAGAGGAACGTCCGTTTTTAGGGAATTTAGCCGAGAATGTTCATCTCCAGAAAGCAATCACCCTCCACCATGTTAAAGTACCGTACATTATGTACAAAATTCATCGACATTTTACAAGTTTACTTTTGAACTCTTCGACCCAAGAAATATCGTATTTACGACACCAATCAAAAGCTTTGAACGAGCACCTTCCAGTTTTCAAACACCGCCAACTATCGACGGTAAAAATTCCTCCCCGGCCTTACAAAGCTGAAAAAATTAACGGTGTTACATCGTGGAAGTCGTTCAACGTCGAAGCAATGTTCGGTCTGTCGTATATGACTCCCAGTCGAGATATTACAAACGATTGTTTAGCTGATCTCAAACAAATCGGGGAAACTGCTATCGACGTAGCGATAGATCACAGCGCTACACACTTAACATACAGTCATTTAGCGGGGGGATATTACCGTACTGACCCATTACGAGGCACAGACTATCTATTGGATATTTCGTTTTCTAGCAAAGAGGAAGGAAAACCTAACGAGGTCAAGCGAGTTCATATTTTACGACCTTTAGAAGATTTGAAAGTGTCAGCGATTGAAGAATACGACAACAAACTAGAGACGGTTAATCTATATATCATTTTGCCAATTCGAGAAAGTCCAAGTGCTTCTGGGGATTTAGAACGCTTCATTCGGAAATATTACGAACCCACAATTTTACAGCGTGCTTTTGGATCTCAAGATTCTGTAAATATCATTCCTACGCTGATTATTTCAATGTATAACAGTAAATCCAACGGAATTTCAGATGCTCAGGATTCTATAACACCGTCCGTACAAGACGTGGTAAACTGGTTTCGTGTAAAATATCCCGATTCAAAAATGGAAGTTTTTCCGAAAGGGAACACTGGTTCGCAAGCGGAACAAAACACTTACTCACATAATATAGATTTTGCGTACATGCAAGCTGTTTTACATATTTCGAGATCTCGAAAAGAAGTTACGAGGTCTAAAGAAGATAATGAAAAAGACGTAGTGCTGCTATCTTCAATGAAATTTAGTCTAACGAAAGCGATGCTAGACACATGTATCGAAAGATCATCTCTAATAACCAAAGAAGAAAAAGCCGATTCCGAACAAAACGGCAAACACATCCAACTTTATCAGCCTGTACCGTTCGCTCTTCATCCCGGTAAAAAACTAACCGATTCAAATAATATACCAGAAAAAGACACAGGTTTTTGGTATCAAAAAGGCGACGAAAAAAATGATTTAAACATGCCGATATGTGGATCTGTAGCTAATTTTATATCTGTAGTCGATAACGTACAAACTGTAACTTCTTCATTTATTAAAATGTTGTTCAAAAATATTTATGATTCTAAATTTATGCTTCAAGTTATTCCTGATGAGAACGTTCTATTAAACGATGCAAAATAGTGGTAACGAACAGGGATTTTTACGACGCTTGCCTTTCGTTCTGAATGATTCCTTCTGCAAACGGCCACAATATCTAGTGACTGAAATCTTTCCTGTTTACAATTCGAAATTCATCTCTGACGAGAATGTTGTTAAACGATGCAAAGGGGGGGTGATAATTTATTTTTTTATTCAATGATTACGCCTTTTGTTTCAAACAGGGCTTTATATAAGCAACGACTGATATCTACCGATATGCTGTTTGGTGGAGCAATCAGAATCTTTCTGTTTCGGCGTTACCTATCAAATTTATTCCAATCCGGTTGAAGTGGCTGGCACTTGATTTGAACCTGAGTAATCGCCATAGCAGCCAATAATAAATTTATATGGTATTGAATATAGTCGATTTATTTATCGATATAATCTATTTGGACATCCTTGCTAGTTCTTCTAAATCAGCGTTTCCCAAACTTTTTTTGCCTCTGAACACCGACTCTTATCTTGCCTCGTGGAACACCGACAAGTTAGAAGGTAAAATGTATGGGTGGTTTCCAGAACATTTAGCCTAAGGTAAAATTAAAAAGGTTGTTGTAAACTTGGTTGATGGTATTGAATTGTTATTAACGAAAATTCTATGCTTTCCGTACTAGCACAAGGCATGTGCACCTGTTTAAATAGCTAGGCTGTGTGTCGTCTGTTTGTTGCCAGTTAGAAGACAAATTTATGACCCTGAGATTGCTTTGGGGACCAATTTCGTCGCACAGTCGATGCCTGTTCTGCAGAACGCTCCAAAGAAGCTCTGTTCCACGGAACAAAGTTTGAGAAACGCTGTTCTAAAATTCATTATCTTCTGTCTTAGAAGTGGCTATTTGTTCAGAGTGATACATGTATAAAAAAAACACTCCTCACTTTTTTTCCTGAAGCACATATTATGTCCTGTATGAGCACTTTATTCCAATCACTGTATATATTTATATATATTTGTATTTTTATTTTTCCCCCCAAATCAGAAATATAGCCTTTTTTCTGACAAATATTTTGATATTTTTGACTGGCTTTTATAGCTCTTCTTAGTGATTATCTGTAACTTTGCTCAGAGATGAGTCCCCATTACTTCTGAGTGAGTGCCTGTAACTTTGCTCAGAGATAAGTCTCATTCACTTCTGAGTGAGTGCGTGTAGTTCATAGTTCCAGCAGACTTTGGCAATATTAGTAGTTTTCTGTAACTTTGTTGATTTCGTTATCGTTGATTTCAAAGTGATTGTGCAAAGCTTTGCTCAGAGATTGGTTATCTTAACTTCTAAGCGAGTAATCAGGTAATGGACCATCATGCTTTTGTATGGTTTCAGTAATTATTTCTGTTGTTGCCCATAACTTTGCTTAGAGATAAGACTCCTTTGCTTCAAAATTTACTTTTTGAATTAATTTTTTGGTTACTCAATCAAATTTTTGAATGAAATTTTTTATTTTTATTTGTGTCGACAAGCTAATTTCTATTGATAGGTAAGGTTGGTGTCAGAATGTGATTGAAGCAATGGCTTTTAATAATATGAATAAATGTGTTTTTGTATATCATGGCTCACATGGACAGGGGGGAACTCCCAAAAATTTGAATGTATCCCAGATTTCTGAAACTTTTGGGTACAATCATACACAGTGCAAAATAAATTTTCTCATTATTGTAGTAGATTAAAAATTCTGTTTTATTTTTAAGAGAATCATCCTGTACTGGTGTCTATTTCACATGTTTTGCAAATGCACGGATCAACCAAGCATTTTTATGACGTGAATATTCAAATTTGTTACTTATATGTTCTTCTTTGCCATCAAATAATGTTAGAGGATAGCAGCTTATAAAATTTTGCTTCTTCAAAAATCATTTTTTCCAAAATATGCTATATCATTGAGTTTCTGCTGTTAGACCTGCTATTTATATTTTCTCTGTTTTGTTCTTGTGTATACGTATGCATATAATACAAGGAGTGAAAAAACTATTCTATTTTATTCAAGAGTCTTACTGCACACTAATATAAATATATTTCTGTACCGTTTTGTCTGACCAAAATCATATTTCCTCATACAAATGTAATCCAATTCAATTAGCCAGTCCTGGGTCCCGTTGACATTTTGTTGTAGCTAAAGCCATGCTTACCAAAATATCTAGTGGTTAGGGTTAGGTCCTAATTTTATTCTGGTTTTCCTTATTGGACACGAAGTGGACATAACGGTCGTTTCAAAATTTTGTTGTTATTGTTATTTGTCTCCGTCTCCATTTTTAAAAAATCGCTTTTCTCTTCGAATACTGGACCAATTGCTTTGAAATTTTCAGTGGATAAAGATAAAATTTTTCTCCAGAAGGCTATTACTTTTTTTTTCGCTATGACGTCTTCAAAATTATTGCCATTGGGTGGCGCTACGTGTCCATATATTTGAGCATAGCTCTCTTGTTTTAGTTCTATTACGAGTTTGGGGACTGTCTGTGTAAGCCAAGTGAATATACACCCTGCCCATAGACTTCCGTCCCCTTATACACAACTTGATGTAAAGTAGGCGAACAAAATTAGTTACCTCTGTATTGGTACACATACTTCTGGAGCCCCCATAAATTAAATCAAAACTATTAGGTAATCACGTAGTGTGTGTACCAGGTTAGGCCATATTTTATTCTGATTTTCCTCATTTTAGTTCTATTACGAGTTCAGGGACTGTCTGTGTTAGCCAAGTGAATATACCCCCTGCCCATATGTTCCAGTCTCTTTACACAACTTGATGTAAAGTAAGTGAACAAAATTAGTTATTTTCATATTGGTACACATACTTCTGGAGCGCAGGTTTCAGTCTTTCCTGGTTGTTATTTTCATGTACTGTTTATTATTGTAATATTATCTGTATTATCAATCACTGCATGTATTTTTAGAAATTCAGATTCTAGATAAAATAATTTACTTTGTTCAACAAAAGGAGGGGAAACCACCTACTTAAAATTAAACCTGGTGAGTTTATTTTCATTCTGTTTGTAAATCAAGTAGGTAGTAAGAATGTTGGAGTTCACTAAACTATATTGCATAAAAGGAATTTATCGTTCAATCTTCAATGCAGCAGTTCCCAACAAGGGGCTGTGGCCCACTAAGGGGAGATCAGTTGGAAGTGGCCGCATTCCAGGGCACAAAACTGATTCTACCTTTCTATTCACAAGTAAACTCACAGTTCTCCCTAGTTTCATTGCTTGATAAGGTTATTTCACAGAGTGTTTCACTTTGTTGAGCAGGAATTGTTTGAACATGATGAGATGGGGGGACATGAGTGCTGAAAGCCTCTGGCCAGGAGCCATAAATGATTGGCAATCACGGCTTCAATGGGTCCTTAGCGTTGGACTTCACTTAACTCTCCATGCATCCCTTCAGTGGTTTGATGATATGAGTATTTCAACGCTTAGTACAGTGGTGCCCAACCTAGTTCGCCAAATTCCGTTACTTATTAACTTTTTATTCCTCCCTCACTATCCATATGAAATACCTTAGTTATTCAGTCAGTCTTTAATCGATCCTTAGTTAGTGTTATGAGCATGCCAGACTCCTTTTGTGCAGTTTAATTAGTGCAATATGTGTACATAAATAAGGGTACTCCCATTCCAGGTTAGGGTTAGGCCATAATTTTATTCCGATTTTCCTTATTTTAGTTCTATTACGACTTCAGTGACTGTCTGTGTTAGCCAAGTGAATATACCCCCTGCACATAGGTTTCAGTCCCTTTATATCGTTCCAATTATACCTATTTTATTCGTAAACTCATCTGACCTTCAAATTTTCTGCTTTTCTAGCGACCGCCCTGTATAATGCATATTGTTAATAAGCTTTAATGACTGCTTATGCGAGGCCATGTTCAGAGCAGAAGGCATGAATTAGCGCAGACATGGGCAAAGTATTGCCTGCAGGCCAAATCTGACATGTTGGGTGATTCAATCTGGCCCGCCTGATGCTGCCACAACCAAACCAAAACCAAATTTTGATGTTAATAAGCTAAAAATAGCTCAAAAAATTTGTTGAGATTGTAGTTAAATTTAGTTTTTGCGCGAAGCCTGTTGTTCTCCACTTTTGCTTTTGTAAAGCTGTGAATATTGTTCATAAAATAACTTTTTTCGTCACACTCACGTGGCCCGCCAGTCAACGTGGGCAAAATTTTCGGCCCTTGATCCATAAACTTGCCCACCTCTGAATTAGCGTTGTATAAAAATACCTCTGTAATGCTACATTAAACATTTGTATTTAGACAACACTTCGTAGCAAAGGCCATGTCAAGTCCTGAGGAGGAGGGGGAACCCCCTGCCAGAATGATAAAGCTATGCTCACATGATTCACTGTCAAGATCGAACCTAGTGGTTGCAAACAAAACTGAATATGATGTCACAATAGAGTGGATTGATTTGGCAGGTGACCGAGTTTGCTATATAAAACAATTACGTCCAGGAAAAGCAGTTGCAATTGTTACTTACGTCGGCCATTATTGGGTGTTTTGTGAAACAAACTCTCGTCACCCTCTAGTGGTGATTCCAGGAAGGCATTCTGTTTATTTCCCGATACCAAGTCACGAACGTGAATACCAAACAATCAGGGTTTCGAATCCTTTATTAACTTTACAACAGTCGTGTTTAAACTCAATCCACCGGAATATATTATCAAATTACTCCCGGATGGAAAATATTTTTCAAGAGATTGACTGTCTTGAGCTACCAACGTCAATAACGAGATCTCTGAAAAAACTTTTCGAAGACCAGAATAATAAAAATATACCGATTTATATTTACCCAGAAGAACTTGACGAGTAATATATTTTTTTTTTAGAGGTGGTTCTTAATCTTTTTTCTTTTAAATCAAGAATTAATTCTCGGTTAAAATTCATTCTAGAATTGTTGAAAAATAATAATGTTCTCATTTTCGTAAATAGCAATAAAATTGCAATATTTTCATTTCGTTTTTGTGAAAAATCTGTATTTCTTTTCATCAGTACATAAATAGCTGCTATATATAACACTGCGTTGTCTCTTTACCTATTTACTATTTCATTACTTTATAATAAAATTCTTACTTTTCCTCGAATTGAGAACAAACTATAGCCTAGAGCAGCGGTTCCCAACCTTCTATTGATGATGGCCCCATTCAGAGGGCTCTTAGCACTCATGGCCCCCTGTTTATCATTCCAATGGTATTTATAGCGTTATTTTGATTGGTCGATTCCAAATCCCATTATGTTCAAACAACATCACGCACAAAAAAGCAACGAAAACATCCTGTGAAATAACCTTATCAGGCTATGAAACTAGGAAGAACGAGAAGTTTTCTTGTGAAGTGAAAAGTAAAATCAGTTTTGTGCCAAGCATTGTGGCCCTCCCTCCAACTTCTCTGTGGCCCCCCGATTGGGAACCGCTGAGAATTCAGAGTGTGTCATATTTTTTTGAATACTGTATTATGTCTTTGAAACTATTATTTTGATTTCAATCAATGTTAATTTCACACTGGGACGTTCAAAACAGATATTGGTTATATTCGATTTAGTAAATTAGGATAGGATTTACATATTTATCCCAGGAGAGAGTAAAGCCAATAAGACGGCTTATCCATATGGCGAACCACGGCCTCTCGTCCGGTTACCATTCCATGTCGAGTATGGGATTAGTTATTTGTTTTCAGAAGCATGGACTTGATGGTGGAGGAAGCCGTAATTCTCGAATTCAGGAATAATTTAGAATATTTGTTTTTGAAAATGCCCTTTTGAGCATTCATTATATTGTGACAGACAAAAAAAAACTTCTGACAGGATCAAATGGAGAATACTAATTAAAACGGTGTTTATCCCAATTATTCCGCTTAACCAAATTTGATTTTATGAATTTACAATTGTCTTGAATATTTCTTCTTTTGGAAGAGACTCATTTCAGAATGTATTCGATATTTCGAATTCAAAAATATTATTTCATGAAGTATTCGTAGTATTACAGTATTCACTCTTCACTTTAGTTTTTAATCATTTTGGCTTTTTACTCTTGTATGACCTGATGTTAGACTTTTCCTAGGTGTCACTGCTCGATAAACCAGCACTGGTTTATTGTTTCCTCTTTTCACCCAGAAAGGCTTTTTTTCACCTCGTTCGGGGCTCCCGAAGTATGCGAACCAAGATGGCGGACATCGGAATGTAATATGTGTACTAGGTTAGGGTTAGGCCATAATTTTAGGTATAAATACTACGGGAGGCTCTTGGCTAGTCTTCGAACTGATAATAGGACTAAAATAAGGAAAATTGGAAAAAAATTATCGCCTAACCCTAACCTGTTACCCATGTTACTTTCCGATGTTCGCCATCTTGGTTCGCATACTTCGGGAGCACCCCTCGTTCTGTATGTAAAAATTATTTACAATATGGTGAAAAAACTAACTACTGATTACAGATAGTTAAAATGTTCTTAATTATTTCTCTCATTAATTGTTTAACATAAGTGTTTTGGATGTGTCTTATTTTTCGAATAATAAATATGCTTTTGTATCGGAATGCCTGTTTTAAATATAATATAGGCCTATAAATTACTTATCTATACAAATTTTTATTTTTATTTCAGTCTTAGTACAACATATGCCCTTAGCAATGCTACCGTTTCATTTATCGACTGATGATAAAGTTTTAAATAAAATATTTCCATCATTAATTGTTTATATCAAGTAATTCCGAATACTAAATATGCTTTTGTATCAAAACAACTGTTCTAAATATAACAAATTTTCCTTTTATTTCAGTTATTGTAAATCTTAGACAAAGCAATTTTAGCAATGTTACCTTTATCCTTATTAAAGACGGCTGTGAACCATCCCATGCTGGTGGAATTGAAGAATGGAGAAACGTATAACGGACATCTGGTTAACTGTGATAATTGGATGAATATTAATCTGAGGGTAAGTTTTGCTCTTGGTTATGGATTTGATCATTCAAATTTGGAATTGTTATTTTATCAAATTACTATGAAGCAGGGTTGAGATGCTTGGTGTGGCACAACACTGGGTGCCCCCCCCCCCTCCCTTTCGAAGGTTGAATCCTCTGGGAGATAGAATAAGATTCACATATTCGTCCCTGGCGAGAGGAAAGTCGTTAAGACAGCTTAGTCGTATAGCGAAGCACGGCCTCTTATCCGGTTATCATTCCATGTCGGGTAGGGAATTAGTCAGTTATTTGTTTTTGGAAGCATAGACTTGATGGTGGAGGAAGCCGTAACTGACCAGCGGTTACGTAACCCACCCTATTGGGCAAGGAGTCAAGAAATCCTCTCGCACATAGCCATCCCCAGATGGGATTCGAACCTGCAAACCCATGTAGGGTAATCAGAGGTGCGGTGGCGAGTATATTCTAACGCTTAGCACAATGCTATAAGTTTGAAATGATACGAAAAGCTTGTTCATATGAATGATTGTTTTTTTTTTACATTTCAATGCAGTGTTCAAGTTATCTGAATAAATAATAACATGGTGTTTGGTGAAGTAAATGGAGTATTAAACTTCCAGACAAATCTCATCAAACCTATCCTAACCTATCAGGGGCCAGGTTTTCAAAAGGGGGTTCTGAAATTGGGAATAAACACATCAGCTTCTAAAACAGGCGCTGTGATTAAGTTAAAAATATAGACGTTTTCACCGGATAATGATTTTTCTGTTGTGTGAAATGTTCAATCCAGGGCCGATGTGAAATAGACTTTCCAACCCATAAACTCCCCAAAGGCTATGCCCCTGCCTAAGATTAACAGAATAGAACAAAACAGATTAGAAAATTAATGATGGAACGTTGATATGAAAGTTCTTGCTATTTTTTAATATTTCATGTATCTTTCCATATCTCAGGAAGTCATCTGCACTTCGAGAGACGGCGACCATTTTTGGAAAATGCCGGAGTGTTACATACGAGGCAGCACAATCAAGTATCTACGAATCCCCGATGAAATTATCGACATGGTAAAAGAAGAAAATTTCTCTAAAGGTCGCGGAAGAGGGCGAGGTCCAAGGGGTCGTGGAGGAGGTCCGAATAGAGGTGGATTTGGAGGTCGTGGAAGGTCACAAGGGGGAGGACGTGGAGGCCAGGGAGGGAAAAAACCACAAAGACCCAAACCCCAAGAGTGATAAAGGGGAATCAATTTGATGTGTCTGTTTGGAGGAGAAACTACTACAAGTCATTCTTGTGTGGTTACTGAAAGAAATTCTCGTCTGATAAGTTGACTTGATCATTTATTCACATACCACTAGCTCGTGGCTCGATTTATGATTAGTTTTTTTGCTAAATAACCATTCAAAGTTGAGTCTCATTTACCTCTGATTGAGTGCCCATAATGCACCATTATATTTTTCCCATTCAGTAAAAAATAACATACGAAATTAACGAAATACAAAACTGAAAACACATTTTTACTGGGGAAGGGAAGTCGCGGGGAACCAGGAATGGTTATCGAGCAGCGACACCCGACATTATGATTCTATATTGTTCCAGTAGCTTTGACTTTTTTAGTGATTGCACATAACTTCACTCAGAGATGAGTTTACTTTACTTTTTGGTGAGTGCCCATAGTGCTTCATGATTCTATATATTTTTAGTGGTCGCTTTCTGCGATTGCACATGACTTCGCTCAGAGGCGAGTCTTCTTTACTTTTGAGAGAATTCTTTTAATGGATAATTTGAACTACCTTGTCTGGTCACAAGTTTAGGGTGGATATAAAAATAGTTACCGTATGTACTTTTTAGTTATGTAATTCGCTTCAGGTTCGTGGACTTGATAGCTAGGAATTTTCAAAGGGAGGAGGGGTTTCTTAAATTTTAATTGCCAAGTTAAACCATAACAGCTAGTGGGTCTCAAAGCTTGCAATATTCGAGAAATTGAATTGCCTTACATGTTCCCTCCCCGGGCTTTGCCCTTGTTGGTGGCGTCCTAAACTAAAATGTTTCGTGTTTTAAACCTCAAGCTTTGGCAATATTCCTGAATTTCAGCTTTGTGTGTTTGTATTTCTGTACCAATGTTATTTCACTAATCAATCAAGTTTGGAATATAGAATAACTGCTGCAATGTGAACACTGAATAAATTTGTGTGGGAACAGGATATTCTTATATTTCAGGGAGTTGGTTGACTTATTTCAATCAGTTTCTCATTCAGATAGCAACGAGTTTAGAATATGGAAATAAATATCCAAACCAGATATGTGGGTGCTGTTTTTTTGCTGTTAGTCGGGGGAAGTGGCTTTTTTTCGGAGTCCAGGTAACTTGTATGTTTATTCGTCTCGTAAATACACTCTTAAGGCTTTTCGAGTGGTTATAGTTCTCAAAAGTTTGAATACTTTTCAGTTCTCACAAAAGTACGTTTTCCCAAAACTTCATTCTCACAAAAGTACTTTCTCGCAAAGCTACATTCTCACAAAAGTCCGTTCTCGCAAAACTACATTCTCACAAAAGTCCGTTCTCAAAACTAGATTCTTACAAAAGTTCGTTTACGGCTTTATGCAAAACTACATTCTCGCAAACCTACCTTCTCACAAAAGTACTTTCTTGAAAAGCTACATTCTCGCAAACCTACATTCTCACAAAAGTACATTTTCCCAAAACTACATTCTCACAAAAGTACTTTCTCGCAAAGCTACATTCTCACAAAAGTCCGTTCTCGCAAAACTACATTCTTACAAAAGTCCGTTTACGGCTTTATGCAAAACTATATTCTCGCAAACCTACCTTCTCACAAAAGTACTTTCTTGAAAAGCTACATTCTCGCAAACCTACATTCTCACAAATATGCGTTTCCACAAAACTACATTCTCACAAAAGTACTTTCTCGCAAAACTACATTCTTACAAAAGTCCGTTTACGGCTTACGCAAAACTACATTCTCGTAAAAGTATGTTCTCGCAAACCTACATACTCACAAAAGTCCGTTCTTGCAAACCTACATTCTCGCAAAACTACATATTTTTTTAAGTACGTTTTCGCCCGTTTAAATCGGCGAGTCGCAAGTTCACTTGGGAAGAGAGAAGAGAAGCAAAAGCGACGAGAAACGACGGCAAGAGAAAAAAAAGTCATTGCAGGAATCGTTTGAATGAATCGGTTTACCAATATATTCTCTCGTTGATGCCTGTTTCTCCGTCGGGGATATAGCTCAGTGGTAGAGCATTCGACTGCAGATCGAGAGGTCCCTGGTTCAAATCCGGGTGTCCCCTGAAATCTTTTCGCCTTTGTCGAACTTAATTTATTGCTCGAAATCGGTTATCTTAGTCTCCACAATCACGAGATGTTTATAATTTGTTGGCCGTTTGTTACGTCACAATTTCCGTTCGTCAGCTGATCGGTTTTGTTTATAAAACGTGGTGTTAATCGGTAACTGAACACCTGGGGAAACGTTTTTTCGCGCTATGATTTTAATATACGACTTGTTGCAGAAAAGTTGCTAAGACAACTTAATCACATGGCAAACCACGGCTCTCATCCGGTTACCGGTATCAGTTAATTTCGATAATCCGGGTTAATCCGATATAGCCGCTGCTTGTATGTGTTTTCTGGTTTGACGAAACAATAAATTCTCTCTCTCTCTTCATGGAGAGTAAAGTGACTACGGTAAATAGTCACTTTAGTGGAGAGTCAGTCGTCAGCCCAGTCAGAGGCGGATAGTTTTGTGATGTAGCTGTGTAGGGTCATGTTTTACTGTTGAGTTATCGGTATAGCCGGTTTTTATGTACGGTACCGCACCGTACTTTATTCAAGGGTATTTTCTATTTTATTACGGTACGGTACCAGGAACACTTTCAACACGCAAAGTTTATGTTTAATCTAAAGGCCGAACGAAGTTGGTTGCTCATGCCCCGAGGGCAGTCTGGCAGTTGACTTGATTCAGTGATTAGAATTAAAACTGTCGCGTGTACGTGTAACCAGTATTGTATATGATTAAACACACAGAGGCAAGAAAGGAGAGGGGATATGTGCATTAAACTCTGTAAGTTTGAGGGCTAGTTTTCGACATAAATAGAGATTTAGGATAATTTTTATAATGAATTTTGTGCGAAATCCAAGTATTGCAGTATTGTCAGATTGTTGACCGCAGAACGATTTTTTCATACGCTATTTGTATTGGGGGAGAGGCGATACGGCTTTAGCATATGATGAACCACGGCTTCTCGTCTGATTCATGTCGGTTATCGAATCAGTTAGGATCAATGAATAAGTTTATTTTTTTCCAACCAGTAAAAATAAATAAATAACACAGGCACAAATTACAAGAAAATAATAAAGTACACAGTTTTACTGGGGAAGGGAAGTCACGGGGAACCAAAGCTGGTTATCGAGCAGCGACACCCGAATAGAATAGGATTTATATATTTATCCCGAGGAAGAAGGAAGACGATAAGACTGCTTAATCATAAGGCGAACTACGGCCTCTTGTCTGATTACCAGTCAGGTATGGGATTAGTTATTTGTTTTTGGAAGCATGTGCCTGATGGTAGAGGAAGCTGTAATGGATCAGCGGTTACGTGAACCACCCTACTGCGGCGAGGAGTCCAGCAATCCTCTCACACATAACTAACCCCGCAAATCCACGCAAGGTAATCAGAGGTGAGGTAGCGAGCATATTACTAAAGCTTAGAACGATGTGCCACACCGCTGATACATTGAAAGGTTATAAAATGGCTATGTCTCTACTACATGACTCTAACTATACTATATTCCTACCAAAAAGGGTATGTCCAGTGGACATATTGTCCACTATGTCCGCCGACTTAGTTAGTAATAAAATTGCCGGTTGGCGACTTTAAAACAAAATCATAGCAATTCATAAAAATTGGTTGAAAAAAAATTTTCTCTACTACATGGCTCTAACTATACTATATTCCTACCAAAAAGGGTATGTCCAGTGGACATATTGTCCACTATGTCCGCCGACTTAGTTAGTAATAAAATTGCCGGTTGGCGACTTTAAAACAAAATCATAGCAATTCATAAAAATTGGTTGAAAAAAAATTTTCATGTAAGATTTTCCTTTTAGTTGTTTAAATGTTTGTCTAGTTGTTGAGTAAATTGTCTTGTCAAATGTGAAAGTATCGTCAAGGAAGTTGCTTACTTATCCATAAAGACACACCTCATACACACCCCTTCACTCGACCAATCACACACACTCGTTAAATGAACGCGTACAGGATAGCATTGGATGCTGAAAATCTTCGAATTATGTTGACAACGTTGGTAAAATGGACTGCTTCTGGAGCGATGGTTTTCGGCGGTGTCGTACCATATGTCCCCCAATACAGGGACATAAAACGGTCTGAAAATGCGGAAGGATTCTCCACTTATGTCTGTCTTGTACTACTTGTTGCAAATTTGCTGAGGATATTTTTCTGGTAAGAATTTTTTAGTGTTTAATTATTGGTAAATACTAAAATCTGATTTCAGAATCACAAATATATTTATGCTAGACCAATTATTCATCTTTGCTGAATTATCACGCATATAATGTAAGAATATTATAGCATGGTTTCCAGTGCACTACTATTTACCCTGTGCTTCAAAACTATTGGGACTATTATGTGCAAGACGTTGCTAGACTCCATTATTGGCGCTCCAGAAGTTTGTGTACCAATATGGAGGTAACTAATTTTGTTCGCCTACTTTACATCACCTATGGGCATCACCAAACTGAAACCAGGAAAATCTAGTAAAATAAGTCAAAACTTGCCACTAAAACTCAAAAAGTATTGAGTTCACTAAGCATTCTAAACAATCTATTGAAGGAGGCTTGCATTCACCAATGTTTTGATTATTAAAATTTAATTTGCTCGGAATTAGGAGCTGGCATCGGAGTCGGCTGTCAAAATTCAGGTACTCCTGTAGTATGCGTACCAGGATAGGGTTGGGGCATAATTATACAGATTTTCCTTATTTTAGTTCTATAACGAGTTCGGGGACTGTCTGTGTTTGCCAAGGAAATATACCCCCTGCCCTAGATTTTAGTCCCTTTACACAACTTTCTGTAAAGTAGGTGAACAAAATTACCGTAGTTACCGGTACCTCCATATTGGTACACACACTTCTGGAGCGCCAAAATTTGTCTCAAGCTGGAGTATCGATTCCAACAGCCCTGCTTCCGGTATCAACATGATAAATCATATCTATATTTTTTAATCTTTTTCAGGTTCGGACGTCGTTTCGAATACCCTCTACTTGCTCAAAGTGTTATCATGATATTTACAATGTTGGGAATGCTGCACCTATGTGTTCGAGTTAAAAGTATGCACGATATAAGTACAAGGAGAAGAGCATTTATAGGTGAATTTGTATTGTGAACTAGTAGCTGCCATTGTAAAATATTTTGGTATAAATTTGCTCGATTAAAGACCCCAAGGACAAAACTATAGCCATTTTCTGAGAGTTGTGTAATACTTCACTGCCCTGGTAGCAGACTCAATAATGTATTTTCAATGTTTTTTTTTTCTTCAACTTTTCGTAACGCGCCACAGTAATTTGATAATGTTTAAGAAGCCCATGGTACTTCACCGTTTGCCCAAAACTTTGCTCACAGATGAGTCTTCTTTACTTCTGAGTGCATGCTCATATGCGCATCTTGGCACTTTAGCGATCGCTCGTAATTATTTCTGAGTGAGTGCACATGAACTTGTTTTGAAAATTTTTTTTATGAAAAACTCAATGTATTTACCATTCCCTAATTCTGTAACCATGCCCAAAAATCCACATGCATTGTTTATAAACAACTCCCAATGTAAACATAAAATAAAATCAGCTCAAAAAGTCGGAAAAGTCCGCAATGTTAAAAGTCTGTATACCGTTTAGCCTACGGGCTTCGAGACCCCCGATTCTTTGAGTTAGGAACAACACATCCACAGAGACATAATAATCCATTTTCTATGCTTTTTCAGATTTTGACGTGAGACATTTCTGGAAGTGGAATCGCTTTTCAGATTATCTGCAAGCTGTCTTATTGTTCACTGCGATCGGAGGATATTTAACTTACTTACTAATCGATTCGTTCATATTCGTAGAAGGGATCGGATTCTTAGCTGTGTTCACGGAAGCGATGCTCGGATCGCCACAGTTTTATAGAAATTTTCAAAATAAGTCAACTGTTGGGATGAGGTCAGAAAATTTTTTAAAATATGATGTTTACATAGCTTATACTCTACTCATGTGTAAGGACCTGCTATTATTATCAGGAGGGCCAGAATCATTTTGAATAGGGCTTATGAGGTTGTGTGCGTTACGTTTCATTAGGGAATGTTGATTTGCGATTTCAACACATTTAACACTTATCTACTAGGATGAGTTCACAAATAGCATTATGGGAGCTCAGAAGTGAAGGAGACTCAACTCTGAGCAAAGGTTCGCCGTGGTTCTCTATATGATTGAGTTAGCGTATCCAATCCCTTTTTCCTCGTATTCTTTGTATAAAGTGTATTTTTCAATATGGTGAAAAAATTACTACTGATATATGGAAATTCTATCTTCAAAAGGTGTATATTTGCCGCTCACAACATATACTCCATCCACTACTAATTCGGCATTAACTGAAGTTCTTGTTTCAGTGTCCAAATGGTGTTGATGTGGACCAGTGGAGATGTTTTTAAAACGGGGTATTTCATTGCAAACCAGGCTCCGGTACAATTCTGGATCTGTGGATTACTGCAAGTTGGCGTGGACATTGCAATTTTAACCCAAGTTTGGTATTATGCACGGTATCCCCAAACAGTCAAAAAAGCAGTTTCATGATCAATTTTTCCATTTTTTTTGTTTCATAAGAGAATTTTCGTAAAGAAAGGCCACACGTACTCAACTTTGGAATAAGAAATTCGTCTCAAAGCACTGAACTATATAGAATTATGGTGGTATGATACCCACACACTCACTCATAGGTAAAGGAGTCTCATTCCCGATCAAAGTGACAGTTATGGTCTTCCACCTAGATTTATGGTTGGTTCCTTATGTTACTCACTTTGAAACTTTACGGACGATCAATGAAATATCATGATAATATATCGATCAACGTCATGTGAACTCGCTCATAAGTAAAGGAGACTCATTTCTGCGTTAAATTACGAGCAACAACTGAGTTCTCAAGATCATAACTCGTGCTCACTCAGTAACAAAGCAGAGTTTAATGTTAAAGGTTGCCAAACCGTGTTAAAGATTTCTGGTGCCTCAAATATTAGAAATAAATGATTTTTTTTTTGAGTTATGGGATTGTGAATAATATATTGCTTATAAGCCTTATGCTAAACACTGAGAAAGAGTTTTTGAAATAAAAAACGAGAATCTCAAGAACTATTTTTTTCATAACCCCCCACCTCCCCGAGAATATATTGTGACAATCATAGTTTATCTACCTCTTTATTATGACTAAATAGAGGTGTTGGAAACCAAATTGTGCTGGTTTGATTTTAATGGGGGATGTATTCCCCAATGGCCATAAACATTATTCCAATTGCAACATTGATCTTATCAAACTGAATATTTTAAATATAGACACATTTTATTTATTGAGCCTCATTTTTTGAAAAATGTATTAAATCGATCAGTATAGTTTACTGGAATATATATATACGGTGTCCATAACGTTTTAGAATTTTTTTAAATTGCAAAGATAATTCATCGATTTGATATATTATTTTGACCCTCACAGACGTATTAAATGAAATAAAAATACTTAAAAAATTAAAAACAACAAATCTGGTTAAAGATATATTGAGAACTGACTTCATAACAAAATTGAAATTGTTGAGAGACTTTTTTGTGACACCCTATATATTTTTATGATAAAAATGGAATCTAAAAAAAGTTTGTGCTACTTTGTTATGCGATCTAAGCGACTTTAGCTGTATTCTTTGGGAATGTCTTTATCTGATTGAGCTCATGTTAAGCAAATGAAATTGCATAAGGAAGTCCGCACAAAAAGTCTTAATGAGGTGTTTTCTATTCAGCATTTTTCAGTGTTTTATTTTGAAATGTCTAAAAGGTATTGACATCAGTTTCGCCTCTTAGTTGTGAATCCAAAAATTTCTCAGAGGCCAAACCAGTGAAATTTTAAGCACGTTGATGAAATTATCATTTTATGTTTATTCCCCAAAATGTTTTTCATTTATTTTTATTTGTACTTAAAATGTGTCAAAAAGTAGAAAATTTTTTGTCTGTTTATTTTTTTGCTTGTATGTTTCTTTCTGAAAGCTGATTTTAGGTGTTTATAAATGAAATAGCGTTTGGTACTTTTTATGATTATTTTTTATGTCTTTGTTGGAATTTTTCGGAATTTTTAAACTTGAGGCTGGAGAATTATGGGGTTTGATTCGGCCCAGCATAGGGGTGGGCAAGGGCAACATCAACAATTTTAAATGTTTGTAAGGAATATTTACAACTTTCTCCAACAGCAGGGGACTGCACAAAATGCTTTGGCGGGCCCCATACGTCACATGGTTTGCCTACCCCAGGCCTATCATGTATTTTAATTTTTGTTTTATTCATTTAAAATCAACCCTACTAAAGTGCCTGATTCTTTTCATGTCCTTCCAGTCTTCATTTCCTGACGATTATATTTGGACTAGGGATGTCCAAAACTAAACGAATAGTCGAATTCAACAAACCCTTGGAATCATTCGATCTCAATGCACAGTCCCAACTGATTCCTTATGATAACTCTCTGAAATTAAAATAACCGTAGTCACACACATCGGTGTCAAAATAGATTGTGAGTTTTACGCTAGCACACAATTTTATGGCCACTCTATTGCATTCTGGATTTCATGAATTATTTAAAATGCTTTAATTTAGAAACTTGTTATTTCGCACATTTTACATCTGATGGTTGGACATAGAAAAGCCTTGAATCAATCAAAATTATATTTATCTCAACTGCCCCCCTCTCCCAATTTTCATAAATTTCAATGGTTCATGCCACCAGCCGGTTTCCTCCATCATCAAGCTCATGCATCTGAAACAAATACCTGGCTATTCAATCCCCAACATGAATTGGTAACAGGACGAAAGGCTGTGGTTCGCCATATGATTAAGCCGTCTTATCAGTCGGGATAAATATGTAAATCCTATCTAATTTCCCTTTAAATTTGACCCATTTTGGAATATTCCTACAACTACTCATACACATTTTCTTCAGAATAATAACTAATCAGATTACGGGGGCTCTCGAAGAATTCGTACCAAGATGGCGCACAACCTGTACCCGGTTAGGGTTTTTCAGGTTGTGCGTCATCTTGGTACGAATATTTCCGAAGCGACAGGTTACGGCCATTCCTAGTACTGGCACCATATATGGTAGTACATAAAACAGCATTATTTAAATATGCTATGCATCAAAAGTCTATAAATTAGTTTTATAATTATCAAATTTAATAATCGCCTGTTAATTTATTAATTAGATATTAATCAGAATATATTTGTTTGATATCAGTGTCTTTGTGCGGTCAAGGGAGAGGATAGCATTGACATTTATAGGTTAGGATTTAAACCAACGGTTTTCGTGAACCCATCATATAGCGCCGAATAGTTTAGCAATTCTCTCGCACATGAAATTCCTTCTCAGAATGTGGGCCCATCGGTTATCAGAGGTGCTCAACGCTTAGCATGATGCGCCACAGTCCACACAGCCATGGTACCCAAAAAATGGAGACACAAGAGGGACAAAATGTCTACATCATAAGGCTAATCACTGCTTTTCGATGTTAGACAGTTCGGGTTGGCTACGGTAGCCAACGACAAAGAAAATGATAAGACTTATATCAGGGTGGTCCAAACCCAGGCCCGCGAGCCACATGTGGCCCTCCGGTTCATTTTTTGTGGCCCGCGTAGCATTTGCGCGAGTGTAAAAGAAACGGTATAGGGCAGGCGCAGAGAGTGTTTCAGTAGTCTATATTCTACGAGACTATCCGTATCTCCCATTCTTTCATGAGTGATTGCATGGGTACCGGTACGGTCAGACGGTACCGTACCGGCATCGCACGAGTGTTCAGACAACTGAGCAGTTAAGCAGCATTTTTCAATTCAATTACCTTCTACACGTAAAACAAATTTTCGTATTCAATTCTATATTCTCTTATCATTATTATAAATATATTGCTTGTGGTTGAACTTGTAGCATGGAGAATTTATAGAACATTTTCGTTTTGAATTTATTGGATATTGCTCATGAAAATCAGTAGTGAGTTAGAAACCCAGGAAACAGGCGCGGCGGTGTGGCTCAACGGGCTAAGCGTTAGGATTACGCTCGCCACCACACCTCTAATTACTCTGCGTGGGTTCGCAGGTTCGAATCCCATGCAGGGATGGTTATGTGCGAGAGGATTGCTGGACTCCGTCGTCGGGTGGTACGGCTTCCTCCACCACCAAGTCCATGCTTCCGAAAACAAACAATACAGTAAAACTAATCCCATACCCGACTTGGGATGGTAACCGGACGAGAGGCCGTGGTTCGCCATATGGATAGGCCCTCTTATCGGCTTTCCTCTCCCCCGGGATAAATATGTGAATCCTATCCTAAACACATTTGTGCGTGTAGGATTAAGCCTGACAACGTTGGTCCAAGCAGCATCAAATTTTCTAAAAATAAAAACGCGTGACAACGATGGGCCACGAGGCGGACCATCGTTGTCAACCTTTTTATTTTCTTTTTATCCATTTTTTTTTTTTAATTTTTTTTTTTTTTTTCGTTTCTATTTTTTAATTTTTTTTTTTTTAATTTTTTTTTTTCTCTTTTTTTCCAATTATTTTTATGCTTTTTCACAACTTTTTTTTAAATTTCGCTTTTTCATTTTTTTTTTTCATTTTTTCTTAAATTTCACACGTGACAACGATGGGCCACCATAAAGGAGCAACATAGCGACTTTATTCCCGCGCCTTTGTTGTTACAAAGAAGGCGAGGAAAGGGTTGACTATTTATCCAGCAAAGAGGAGAGGGAGATTGAATAGTTCGTCAATCAAAAAATACAGTCATCAATGCAATGAAGAAGTAACAACAATAAAATTGCTTTGGTATGGACAGGGAGGGAGCGATACAACAAGTGGTGGGATTCAAATTTTTCGTCAGCCGGTTCTATCACACACAAATTTCATATTTTTCAGTCGGTTCTGTTACAAAAAATCATGTTTTTTTCAGTAATGCGAACCAGTTCGCTGGTCTCATAAAATTCCATGAGACGGTTCTATAGAACCGGTGCGAACCGGCTGAATCCCACTACGGGCTACGGCACTCACAATTGGATACCGGTACACCCGGTCAACCATACCGTCATCGAGATCAACTCCAGAACTCCCATCATAAGTATAAGTTTATTTCAACTCCATTACAGCATTATCAGCATAACAGTAAAATGATTGATAAATACTGATTATCAAATCAGTAAACCATTTTCGTTTGTAGGAATGAGATTCAAATTTGAAGATGACTTAAACCAGTAATATTTTTACATGATTTAGAAACAACAAATTATATAAATGTCTGAATGTTACATGCGGGTGTAAGGGATTGGGGCTTAAGCTAATCTCCATAACTGGAGAGTTTATAAGATGTTCCAGATATCACAAATCAGTGGAAGCTTGCTTCAGTGCTTAGAGCCTTCTTTGCAGTGAAAAAAGATTATACAAATATAAGGACAACTGTTGTTGAAACTGTCTATCAAAATGTTTATTTCATGTTAGAACCAGTGGTAGGAAGTTTCTTGTCTTTATCAGAGTTCAACAGCCGGAAGTTTGAAACATTTGTATAATTTTTGTTTGTTTATTTCTGGCCCAAGCCTTGTTACTTATCGATCTTAAGATCGGTGAGTATGTTGATAGGTATTTGTCTGTCTGTCTGTTAGATACACGCGATATCTCACGAAAGCGAGGTTGAATCTGCTCCAAATTTTGCATGTGCATCCATCATAGCTCGGATCAAAATCCTATTGATTTTCGATGAATCATGTCGTATAATTGGTGAGTTATTTATTAATTAGTGATGGGACACACGGTGTCACTATGGAGTGAGAGCGCTGTGATCCCCTAACCTTCGATCGATAAGTCTTCGGTTATATCTCGGCTTAATAGGTTTGTGATTTTTTTTGTGTGTGTTGGTGAGCAGGAACATGATATTTCACATGTTTCCAACTTTTTACAGGTTTGGCTTTCTCTCAAGAATTCTCCATTTTTATTAGTTTAGGCCTATATATTATGGTGTTTTCAAAATAAACTATCTATCTATCTATCAAAGTCTAAAAGTGAAACGACCATCTTAAAAATGGATCCAAAACTTGTTGAACTTGCTCTTGAATGCTTCCGAAACAAGCCAAGGGTTAAAATTAGAAAATTGAATATTTCTGGAAATGATTTTATTCAAGTAAAAAATGATTCTACAAGTGACAAAAATTATGTTCAAGTCAATGTAACACAATCACAGAAAGGGAAAGATGTTAAAATTGAGAAGCAAAAGAAGGGTCAAAATTCTGGTACAGGAGGGAGTAATGATAATGTGGCAACACTGACCGTATCTAATGGTAACAGGAATCAAAAAACAACAAAAAAGATAACGAACGATCTTGGAGGAAATGAATCAGAACATGGTTGCAAAGTTTGTGGCAAAATTTACGAGACAGAATGCAGCTTAAGGAAGCATTCATGGACACACACGAAAGGAAAACCATATTCGTGTGATATATGTGGCGCCAAAGTTACAACTAAGAACAGCTTAAGAAAACATATGCGAATCATGCACTCAGAGATAAGAGTAAAATGTGATTTATGTGATAAGGAATACAAAGAGATATCTACGTTGAAAGCTCACAAACGAGCTGTGCATGAAAACAATAAAAAGCATAAATGTACCATTTGTGACAAGACATTTCTCTTTCTAAGTGCTTTGAAAGTCCATATGGACACTCACTCAAACCTGCGTAAGTATAAGTGCCACATTGAGGGGTGCAATAAAGCTTACTTAATGAAAAAAGCACTTTCTCACCATCTACTGGTTCATTATAACATTCGCCGATTTGTTTGTGATATTTGCGGAAAGAACTTCATTATTAATGCACATTTGAAACTCCATATGAGAGTACATAGCGGAGAAAAACCATACAAATGTAAATATTGTGGGAGAGCTTTTGCATATAAAGCATTTCTCGTTAACCATACACGAGTACACACCGGTGAGCGTCCTTTTAAATGTAAGGATTGTGGCATGGATTTCAAATATGCAATAGCATATACATACCATAAAAGAAAAAATCACCCAAGTGAAACACAGCCAACATTTGCCTGTTTGATTTGCTCTAAATCTTTTCGGGACGATTCATCTCTAGCACGACATATGTTAGTTCACACGAATGAAACTCCTCACAAATGTGAGACATGTGGACGTGGTTTTAAACTAGAACAAAACTTAAAACGACATTACATTGTTCACACGGGAGAAAAACGATACAAATGCACGATCTGTGAAGCAGAGTATGGGTATCCAAACTCGTTAAAACAACACATAATTGGCGTACATTTGGGAAAAAGAGACTATAAGTGTGAAATATGTGCGAAAACTTTTGCTCGCAGTCAAACACTTGCTAGTCACCTATATATGCACAAAGGCGAAAAGAAATTTCCATGCAAAAAATGCGGCCGTAAGTTTCGATCCAAAATCATGGCAGCTGTTCATATGCGAACTCACACAAAAGAAAAACCATTTGAATGTGACATATGTGGGGACAGATTCGCTCATTCAAGCAGTCGTGATATGCATTTGAGACTGCATACAGGTGAAAGACATTACAAATGTAAAAAATGTCCTGAGTCATTTATGCACAGATATCAACTCTTGAAACACAATGGCTCCCAATGCAGATTCAAAGTTCTTCCAAATGAAAACGATCCAAGGATTGTGCGCTAAGTTATGTCAAGTGATGAGAAATTGATTGTTGTAAACTGCTTGTCTGAGGAAGTCTAACTTTGGTCAGACGAAACGTTACAGAAGTACATTTGTGTTAGTGTGCATCTGGACTCTTTAATTGAATAGTCATGTTTATTCCGGTGACAGCATCCTTGCAGTATACACATATCCACTAGCATCAGCATTATTAACCTGGTGCTTATATTGAAAGATGCCATGGGCGAAGAGATATGGCCAATGCTGTACAATCTACGTTCCGAATACCTGCTAGAATGTTATTCCCAGAGTCAAATATGGCACAATATTAGCTGATACCAAAGGGATGAGAGAAATTAAAGGGTTCGAAGGTGCCATAAACTAGTAATTGTCATCTTGCTTTTGCATGTTAACGATCATCTCTTAATCTTACTGTGTAGGAATGGGAAAAGATGGAAAAAAAAATTTGTAGTAGTAACGCCATTAGTATCTGAGAACTAAAACATTGTTCAGAGCAAAAACAAAATAGCAGCCTCATGGCTGCTTATCTGAGGCCTTCTTCGGGGTAATAACATAGACACTATCATTGGAGTCTAGAGCTGGCCGTTGCTGCCACAGCCAAACTCAAATTTTGAAATCAGCATTATTTTGATGTGTTTGTATTCAGTGATGCGTATATAAATGACATGATGTCGCTAATAGGATAGGATAGGATTTACATATTTATCCCCGGGGAGAGGAAAGCCGATAAGACGTCTTATCCATATGGCGAACCACGGCCTCTCGTCCGGTTAGCATTCCAAGTCGGGGATGGGATTAGTTTTACTGTATTGTTTGTTTTCGGAAGCATGGACTTGGTGGTGGAGGAAGCCGTAACCGACCAGCGGTTACGTGAACCACCCAACGACGGCGAGGAGTCCAGCAATCCTCTCGCACATAACCATCCCTGCATGGGATTCGAACCTGCGAACCCACGCAGAGTAATTAGAGGTGCGGTGGCGAGCGTATTCCTAACGCTTAGCCCGTTGAGCCACACCGCCGCGCCTAGGCTATCTAATTCTGGAAGAATCATATGGCTGTTCCTGTTGTCAATTTATTGTGGTGTAGTTTTCCCATGATTGTGTGATTTAGAGATAATTTTTTTATCAGATTGCTATATTTGCTGCTATATTACAGCATATCGCTGACTGGATGACTCACTGAGTCTTTCGCGATCCCATGTTAATTGCTATGAATCAATGTTTCTTGTTTTTTTAGTTTACTGTGTTTTTCTTTTGCTTTATATTGAATCTTGCATGATGAAAAGTAAATATCTGAATCTGATGTTATAGCTAAAATATACCTCAAGGAATTTGTTGAGTTTTGGCAAGAGGCGCATTGTTTTCCACTTTCTTTTTTAACCATGGGTTCCACTGTAACCAATAACCATGCGCCATCAGAATTTGACATATATTGCCCATTGTTAGCTAATGGGAATCACAATAGTATTGTTGTGATACAATCCACTAACGCCATCTCCATGGCTACCGAATCAGTGGTGTTCGGAGTTGTCTTTTCTTTTGTTGAAGCCTAAGTGACTATTATAGTCACTTTGGTTGAAGCGAGCGATTGCTGGTTACAGCAGATCGTCTCGAGATATTTTATGTTATTTTTTCTTCAATTTATTTAAACTTAGTTCGTGTTTTTGTTTTTTATATTATAGTGTTAGACTTATTTTATAGGTGCCGCTGCTCGATAACCAGTATTGGTTTCTCGCGTCTCCTTCACCCTGAAATATGGCCAATTTATAATTTAATTTATTGCAATTTGTATGTTTGTGCCTATTTTAAGTATGGTGAGAAATAAACTACTGATTACTGATATAGAACCGTAAATTTTGTGTTTGAAATGTAACTTTCATGCTACACTCACATCTGATTCAATACTCCCGAATTTTAATAAAATGTTTGGTTCTGATTGAACTATATTACCGGTACAAAAAAAATTTTTGCATTTCCATCTTTTTTCCTAGATTTCCTGTTAAGTTTTGACACGTACATTGAGAAAGAAATTTTTTTTCAAGGTTTTCCCAAAATCGGGTTTTTGTCATATTAAACAGCCTAAAACTCAAAACATAGTTTGGTGCTGTTTTTTTAGTGTTTTTGATATTCCAGAGACAGGGTTCTTTGTATTGCACCTATGGATCGCTTTGTTATTATGGGTTCCATCACATTTGAAACCACGACAATTGCACCTGCATACTATTGCACCTATGGAAATTACACCTACGGATATAATTTCACACAATAGCGCTTATGAAAGTGGCCGCATTTTATGCCAGACTCTCTATTGTTCTCAGTGCAAACTATGATTAACAACTCAAGTTTAAACAAAGGTTTTCTACATTTATCTTTTGCAAATTGTTCCCGTGTCGTGGTCCCATCCAACGTTGGTTTCTGGCAAGTTTATATCCCGAACAAATCTTTACGTGTTTCGTGCGACTTAGTGTAAAAACATATCCCGACCCATACCCTATCTCCATCTTTTCACACTGGAACCTGGGATATGGACGTGCTATAAACTGACTATTGTACATATCACCGTTGTGCCGTACCTCTTTGTCTTGTGTATTTTACTAGAGTTTTATTTGTATAGTCAATTTCATGTCTGTTGTCCTAGTATAACGCAGCAGTCCTAAACTGCTGTTATCATTGTTAGGGGTACATGTCGCACATCTGTGTCTTAGGCCGGGAAGGTCTTGAACATGTATCCCGTCTCTCTTATACCGTTTAATTATTATGCAGATACTGTTACATTTTTGAGGCAAATAAACATACATACATACATATTTGAACCCATACTAACCCTAACCCATGGATTTTAGCTCCCGCATATAGATTGAACCCGTGGATATACTGGTGCGAATGTATGGGTTCAAATGTGCTGTCACTTTATTATGTTGTTGTTATAAAAAAAAATTTCCATTGAACCAACTTTTCAATGGTAAAAGCTTTTACTTTTATTTTGTGTAAAACTGTCATTAGTTTCAACTCTTTGAGTGTTTTTGATTTGTTTTTCGTGTAAAAAATCGTTAAGTAGCAATACAAACCCATTTTAATTTAATCTGTGCACAACTGGAACTGCCTCAATAATTTAATGTTCAACTTCTTTATTACTGTCGCTGCTTAATAATTGGTACTGTTTTACTGCGTCTCCTTGAACTCTGAATTGCAATTATTTCATATTTCTCCACTTACAATTTATGTTTTTATCATGGTAATTACTGGTTCACTAAATTCCAGAGCTCACTGTAAATACCTCAACTCCTGGCTTCTGCACCTAATCATGCAATTGATATGCTTTTAATCTAATTTGTATGTTATGGTTTTGTGATGTTGCCTAGTTTTTAGTTGTCACGTTTATTCTAGTCACCATACTTAAATTGCACTATTTTTGGACCTTTTCCAGTTTCCATGTCACTATATATTTTTTGATCAAGTTAGGAATTGTTGTTACTTATCGATCTTAAGATCGGTAAGTATGTTGATAGGTGTTTGTCTGTTAGATACACGCTATATCTCACGAAAGCGAGGATGAATCCGCTCCAAATTTTGCATATGCATTCATCATATCTCGGATCCAAAGCTTATCGATTTTGGATGAATTATGTCGTATAATTAGCGAGTTATTAATTAATTAGTGATGGGACACAAGGTGTCACTATGGAGTAAGAGCGCTGTTTTGGGGGATTCCCTAACTTTCGATGATAAGTCTTATCTTTATTTTTTGGAATGAAAAATTGAGTTGACAAAAATTCCCCCTCCTTGGAAAGTTACGTATGTAGAAGTTCAGTGTTTAATGGAGTAATGACCAATCTTTTTGTAAGTCCACTCATTTTTATTTTATCAATATCCATCTTTTTCGTGACACTGGTATTTTTTCTGTATAAATCATTGTTCGTAGGTACAGTTGTAATAAATATTGAAAAAGGTATGTGTGCACCATGATCTTTATGTGCAACTGCTGAGGTGGAGTTTCAGTGTTGGGATTTACATATTTATCCCGGGGGAGAGAAAAGCCGATAAGACGGCTTAATCATGTGGCGAACCACGGCCTCTCATCCGGTCACCAGTCGGGTATGGGATTAGTTAGACAGTTATTTGTTTTCGGAAGCATGGAATTGATGGTGGACGAAGCCGTAAACAACCAGTGGTTACGTGACCCTAAGGCGGCATGGAGTCCAGCAATCCTCTCGCACGTGATCATCCCCACATGGGATTCGAACCCACGAAAGGTAATCAGAGATGCAATGGCCGGCGTATTCCTAACGCTTAGCACAAAGCGCCAAACCGCCGATTGGTTCTGACGGGTAATGATTTGCACGCATGTTCCAATGAACGAGATAGGAAGGCTCAAATATAGCAGCGCCACAAGCGCGCATCTACACCTATGGGGGGGGAAAACGATAAGCAGCGAGATTGCTGAAGTGATCGACGAGAGGGAGAGATTTCTTATTTCGTCAACTTATAAAATAGTCATCAATTAAATAGCAGTAGCAATAAAATTGTTTTTGCAAGGACATGAATTTACGAAAGTTATAAAGAATGTCCATGATTAATACAGGTCAGTAAATTAATGGGTTTTATAGTGCTCGAATGGACAATGACCGGTGACCGCACTGACGCTTGAATAAATCTTGAAAGTTCTTCTTTTAAAGGGCGAAAAATTTCGGTCTTCAAAGGTATAGCAACTTGTTGCATATCAATGGATGCTTGTACAGGGCCTTATTCGAAGCGAAAAATGTCGCAAAATTTTTTGTGTAAGCGTAAATATATACTACTACGTATAAGTACAAATACCAAATGCATAACAAGGCAGAAAACTGCTGTAATTTGGAATGATGTTTTGAAACGCACAAGCACGCGTTCACCCACCGACAGTTCACTTACTCGAAAATAAATTTTGGTAACTTTACTAAATTGCTGTCTTGTTTATTTGTCTTGTCTGTTGCAATTTTATTTTTGTACCATAGTTCAGAAAAATATATATCTTATTCGAATCTCGCATCAATCCTTGTTCACCAAGGTTTGGCATTGCACCATCGTAGTTCTATATGATTTTTAGTGGCTCTTGGCATTTCATTGATGGCCTGTAACATTTCTCAGAGGCAAGTCTACTCTATATTAGAGGAAGATGCGCCTGGACAAGCTTTGAGTAATTTAAAAAAAAAAAACTAAACAAACTAAGTTAATTTGTAATGAACATTTCGCATAGGAAAATATCTTTTTTCTAAAACTTTGAAATTTCTGATTCGTGAATGAAAAACGCTTTTGTAAACTTTTTCATAATTTATTCTTTAATAAAATTAAACAAATTAAATTAATTTAAATAAATATTTCGATTCTTATTCTTAAAAAACGATTTTTTTTTACTAAATCCAAAATCACTGATGCGTGAGAAAAAAGCTTTTGTTCCTTTTCGTAATCCTTCTTGGATTTTCGTTTGAGCGTTGAACGTTCGTTTTTTGTGTGAAACAGAATTCCGTTTGTTAAATTTGTGAAAATGTCTGATACTAGCGACCTAGATAGACAAATAGAGCAACTTCAAAGATGTGAAATTATTAAAGAAAGCGAAGTAAAAGCTTTATGCGCCAAAGCGCGTGAAATTTTAGTCGAAGAAAGCAATGTTCAGAGGGTGGATTCACCGGTAACCGTCTGCGGAGATATTCACGGTCAGTTTTATGATTTAAAAGAGCTTTTTAAAGTCGGTGGGGATGTTCCGAACACGAATTATCTATTTCTCGGTGATTTTGTGGACAGAGGTTTCTACAGTGTTGAGACGTTTTTACTTCTATTGGCTTTGAAAGTCCGTTATCCAGATCGTATTGTCCTGATTCGAGGAAACCATGAAAGTCGACAGATCACCCAGGTTTATGGTTTTTACGATGAATGTTTAAGAAAATATGGATCAATCACTGTTTGGCGCTATTGTACTGAAATTTTCGACTACTTAAGTTTGTCCGCGATTATCGATGGAAAAATCTTTTGCGTCCATGGTGGGTTATCTCCATCAATCCAAACGCTAGACCAGATTCGTACTATCGATCGCAAACAAGAAGTACCACACGATGGCCCAATGTGCGATCTACTATGGTCAGATCCAGAAGACACCACCGGGTGGGGTGTCAGTCCACGAGGAGCTGGATATCTTTTCGGAAGCGACGTTGTTTCGTTGTTTAATCAATCCAATGATATTGATATGATCTGCCGTGCTCATCAGCTCGTAATGGAAGGGTATAAATGGCATTTCAACGAAACCGTTTTAACTGTCTGGTCGGCTCCGAACTACTGCTACCGCTGCGGAAACGTAGCTGCCATTTTGGAACTTGACGAACATTTACAGAAAGAATTTACAATATTCGAAGCCGCACCACAAGAGGCAAGAGGAGTTCCGATGAAGAAACCGCAAGCGGACTATTTTCTCTGAGATAATATTCTATTGTTTTAGTCACTTGTTCAAAACTTTTATCTCCTCAAGTCTCTGATTGAGTACATGGTGAATCTAATGGAATAATAACTTATGGGTTTGTTCTTGATTGCTATTCTGAGTCTCTGTATTCTATTCTGCTGTTGTTTCACAATAACTTCTAGTTGGTGTAGCGTAACAATTTTTGCAAATGACATTCCTGACTTCTACCTGACCACGTCTTTCAAAAATTACATCACTACGACTTCACAGTGACGAAATAAGGCCCACCAAAATATACGGATGGTTGTCCAAAACGCGTTAACTATTACCTGAAGTCTAGCAATCTATTTCGCTCATCTCCGAATATGATAGAGATCACTGGTGTTAGTGAGTTCTTTATAGTCAGCGCCGATGCCATTTTGGAACTAATTTTTTACTGACGTAATTTTTGAATGACATAGTCAGGTAGGGGTTAGGAATAACAGATGCAAAAATGGTTAAGCCCACCAGAAGTACTTGTGATACTAAACTACACCGACCCACTATTCTGTTGTCGCCTGATCAGTTTCCTTTTATATTCTTCAACTCACTAATTGAGAAGAAGGTTATCCTTGCGGATTTGTGGCCTCATTTATTTTAGTATACCATGATATTCTTATTTGACAGCTGCTATGAATTGTACTTCTTAATAAACTGTGTGTCACAATAAATTTCAATGAGTCTCGAAATATCAATCCATCATTTTTCGAAAGGCACTTCTTATCTGCCGAGTTTGAAATGTGAAATCTAGTTTGTTGAATTAATGTTGCGAAAATTATAATTGTTTCTGTATCTAAGATGCTATTTTTCTGTTTTAGTCATATGTTCAGAACTTTTTTAACTCCATTTCTCAGTGAAGTCCCTGAATAATGTGAACTTGTGGTCCAGGGGTGTGCAACATTTTTTGTTGGTGATGGGAAGTTAAAGTTTAACATTCCATATCCACCACCTCCTCCGGGATGTAATAAATCTCTATCAGTACTGAAATAACCCAAAAATATTCCTTTCTTACAAAGGGGAACTTTTGTGGACAGTTTTATCCTAGGAAAGGTACATTTCAGTGTCCGCTTGTACATGACCGTGTTCAGAGAGAAAGACATAGAAATCGCTGCGCAAAATGAAGTCTCGAATGGTCCCTTTTCATGGAGGCCATAAATGTTTTTTCATTCCTTGAAACTTTATTTTCAATTCTTACATTATTTTTTTGCTTGGAGAATTCTTTTCATGCTTGAGTGTTTTTGTGCTGTCATTTCAATTTGCTTTAGTGTTGTTGACCTCACAATTTTCTTTTATGAAATTTATTGTCGCTTCATAATCGCAGTGCTTTTTTTGTGATGTGATAATATAATTTTATGCTATGCCCTCAATGTTCATATCAATCAGACCTATTTGAACAGTTTAACATGGCTGACTTGGCGGCTTTAACTCTAAAGGGCGGGACCCCCACTTATAATAATACTCGAAGGCTTTATAAGGATCAACTGCGGAGGTTTTTGCGGCATAATATTGAATAATTTATGATCTGTACCAGGACCATATTCTGCAGTATCCTGCTCACTCGACTGTGAAGGATTCTGCCACAATTTCCCCTAATTTAGGCCTGTTATTTTATGTATTATAAAGTGTAATTTATGCCAATTAAAAATTTGTATGTTTTCTTTTAAATATAGATGTCTGTTGGTTAGAATGAAAGTTTGAAAGTTAGCTAGGCCATTTCAATAGAGGTATTTAGAAGGAATTTTTGACGAAAGGGAACACTTCAATCTTTCCGATTGGAATATTTCGAAAAGTGCAGAATGACGTCACAGGTGACCGACCCCGTTGAAGAACTTGTGTTTTTACGGCAAATGGTTCAAAGATTGAACTCTGCTCTTGCAAAACACCAAGGATCAGACCATAGCCTGGTAGGTCGCCTAACAGAAACACCATACATCAAATTGTGGAATTGTAGGGTCAGAATAGTGGTCGGCAAACTGGGGCCAAATGCGGCCCACAAACAATTATTTGTAGCTCTTGAACGGCCGCACTGTTAATGCCTAACAACAAAAATTATCATACGGTGTTTGTTTTATAGTAATTAGCATAAACGAAAACACATGTCAGTTGTTTGTCCCTTAAATGTCGAACGTTCCTATCATTAGTTTAAAGTAACATAGGAATACGCCTTGGAAAATACTCTGGACATAATTGTTCTTTGCCTGTTTTGTTACACTGGCAGTAGATATTCGAGAGCTTACAAGTGATGACTGAGATTTATTTTGGAAGGACAAGTTTCAAAAGAATATGATTTAAATTTAGAGATGGATTTCCAATATGAACAATATTAAAATTTTTCAATACGTCTCGAACATCTTTATGCGAATCTGATCCCTTATTTTCTTTACAGTTAGATGCAGAAGCGTCCATTGACCCTCCGGCACCTTGGCTGACCAACCCACAACATTTGGCTCCGTTACTGAACGAATATGACACTCATCTAACACATCTCGTGTCACAAGTTACGAAGATAAAAGATGAAAATCATGAAAGGAAATTGCGATTGCAGGTGTGTGTTTTTATATGTGTACGTGTCTTCATGTGTGTTTGCATGGGTGTGTGTTATGTAGGTTTTATATTGAGCATGCTTACATTTTTACTGGGACTTAATTAGGTATGTCCAGAATCAATCGATTATTCCAAAACATTCATAATTGGGTATATCCAGTTTACTTCTTGACTTTATGAAGAATTTAGAATATTTTCATTGGAAATATTTTAGTATTTATTTTTTTACAATTGACGGAAAATTAGTTAATTCCTCAAGGAAGAAAAAGGGGAATACTAATTAGAACAATGTTATCTTTACCATTCTGCTTTAACAAATTTGATTTCTACGACTTTACAATTGTCTTGAAGAATTTCTCTTGTGGAACAGACCCATTTCAAAATATTGTCGATATTTCATAATCAAAAAGATTATTTCAAGTGCACAATTACTAGGTTTTGGCCATCCCTGATAACTTCAGTTATTTTTCAGTCTGTCTCCGAAGAAAATCAACGTCTTCATGCAGAATTGCAGGAAATGGTTCAACAACAAATGAAAGAAGCTGATTATACAGGTGAGCATGGAGATCTAGTGTAGTTGTTTTTAAATCCCTCTGCCACTCACTTCTGCCACTATGCTTTGCTCGTCATGTTTAATAATGAAAAAGACAAATGAAAGCAAAATAATAAATGAATTGCAGTAAATTTCTTCAAATTAATGATGTTGTAGTAAATGGTCTTAAGTTATTTAACACGAAGTATTCAATACAAAAAAAACAACTAACGAAAGCAAGAATAAATATACCATCACTGTAAATTTACTTCAACAAATAGATGTAGGCACTGCACTGGTAATGATATTTAGCAAAGATCATTGCTCCTAGCTCCCATAAATCTACTCTCTGGCCCCTAGAGAGGGGTTGGGGCCAGTTTGAGTAACCTTCCTCTGGGGCAGAGTAGGGTAATCATCTTTGCTAAGGGTCCACATCGCAAATTAAAAATGCAGTCGTGGGCTGGACTAAGTAAAGTCAAAGTTTGTGGTACACATCTTGCACAGGCCTTCCTTATAGTGTATGAAGAATGCACAAATTTAATTTTTGCCGTCTTTTCAGATCACTCACGAGGCCAGGGCAATGAAATGCTTGAGAAAGAGTTGGGCCAGTTTGGGTAACCCTGCACTGAAGCCCATGAAGATTAAAAAAAAAATTTTTTTTTGCATTTGTTCAGATCACCCGCAAGGCCAAGGTAATGAAATGCTTGAGAATCTTCAACGACAGGTAGAATTGGCGAGTGCTGAGAAAGAGGATGCTGTGAGAATGTGTCGCGATACAATGCAACAGCTAGACAAGTATGGTTTTTATTAAATATGTTCGCCACAAACTTTTGAGACAAAGTAAAAAAAAAAATATTGATTGATATGTTGTTTAAGAGGTTCCCGAACTAATAAAACTCACAGCATACTACTTTTTTATGATTACAAATCGCAAGAAATTGAAAACAAATTCACTTTATTAAGATTGATTCACAATAAAAATTGGTTTTATAATACATGCAAACTGGTTTAGGGCGATACATGAGCTTGCTTTGTGCAAAATTTCACACAAATAATTTTTATTCTATCATTTCCTACAGACTCCGACACCAACGACAAACAGAGTCGGCATCAGTGAAATCTCGTTTGCAATCATACGATGACACGAGGAAACTCAACGAGCAACTTCAGGATGCAAACCTTAATCTGCAGATGTCATTGGATGCGATAAGGAATGAGAATCAGGCTTTAACGAGTGCACTACATCAGCAGGTAGGTGGTTATTTAATCGGCGTAATCCAGAGTGAAGAGTGAAATGCTCTTGAGATTACCTTGCATGGTTTCGATTCCTGTGGAAGATGATAATGTGCAAGACGTTTGCTGGACTTTTCACACTGCCATAGGGTGGTGCACGTAATCGCTAATTTGTCATGGCTTACGACCCATTTCCAAATATATTTCCTTATTCAAAGACATTGTATTATAACAGCAGTGTGCAACAGGCAACAACCTGGAACGCCATGTTATTTAGTGTTGGCTGTGTGGCCCTGGTCACACTCAGATTTATCTCCATCAACCATAAAATCCCAATTCGACAGTTTATGCTTTAAAAGGTGCCCCCATGAGTAACAAACATAGATAGTGTTTTTTGCTCTTGTCGCTGCGTTAAATCTTCGTTGTTTTGCCCGGTGTCTTTATTACTGGAAGTCTAAGTGATAGCCGCATGCGACACTCTGCTTGTGGCTAATTTTCTCTTTTATTGTGTTCATCGAACAAAATAATTTTTTCGTGTGGCCCAGGCTAGATGTCTTAAATTGGCTATATAGCCCACTGAGGAAAAATGTTACACACCCCTGTTTTAGAAGGAATTCAGAATGGTAGATATTCATTTTGACCATTCTTGATCTTTGGTTTTCACTCTTTATTATTTTACAACTATATTATTTCTATAGGAGAACGACCTTCAAGAAACTCGAGAGAATCTCAAGGTCACAAAGACAGAATTCCATAAAAACAAGGTCGAATTAGGAGAAAAGAATCAACTAATCGAAACTTTGACTGTTCAGCTCGAAGCTCTGGTATTTTTTTTTTCATTCAATTTGTTAACCTTTTATATTTTCATATCAATTTCTCATCTTCCTATTGTTTACTGGTGTAATATAATGTTTTATTGAAACAAGCAATACTTATTAAACATAAACAGTTCAGTTGTCACCACAAATACAAGAATATAAAGTCAGACATAAGACACATGTTGCCTCTGCTATACTACAGTACTGAATGACCTCTGGAGACCAGCATGTCAGTCTTTATACCTCGTAAGCATGCTGCAGTGGTTTTACCCATAATGCCGTTCTGTTATTGGTTTGCTCATTTGCTCATTTCCATATTCTCAGCAAAGCGACAACGGAGAAAAACATCGACGACAACTCGCAACTCAGAACGTCACAGAAAAGCTTCAACAAGAATTAACCGATGCAGAAGGGAAACTTGCTCAAGCATTGCAGGATCGGACAAACGCTGTCTCGGAAATTGATTCGCTGAAAATCGAAATCGTTGCATTAGAAAAAAGGAACAAAGAAATGGAACAGAAAGAACTAAATAACTTAGAACAGGTATAACAGGGTTGGGCAAAATTTTTCAGTACAAGAGCCCATGCAGCAAGTATGAAATATGTGAGAGCCGCATAATTTTTAAAATTGATAATATTAGAATACCGTGACTGAGAAAAACTTCACACAAACGTATACTAACAATATTGTAAAGTATATATTCTTCAACCGCTTAATGAATTAGAAAAAATCTGTTACGCTACAGTTTCTCTTAGTTATTAAATTTAGATAATATATAATCATTGCTAACGAGGAGAGCCGCATAAAAAACACTGGTGAGCCGCGGTTTGCCCACCGTTGAGGTAAAATGTGAAGAGAATGATCTTTATTTGCTCAACACAAGGCTCTGCTTAAGCAGCCATTGATATGCAGAGCAGGCGCGTAACCAGTCCATGTTGCAGAGTAACCAGAGGTTCGGTGACGAGCGTATTCCTGACGCTTAGCACGATGCGCCACACCGCCGAACCAAAATTGGGGAGGCAATGTAGAACAGGAGAGGGATCACAGTTTGCAGAACCTATGAAATAGGCTAGTCGGTTACGACTTCCTCTACCTTCAAGTCCATGTTTCCGAAAAACAAGTAACTAACTAATCCCATACCCGACATGGAATGGTAACCGGACAAGAGGCCGTGATTCGTCATATGGATAAGCCGTCTTATCAGCTTTCCTCTCCCCCGAGATAAATATGTAAATCCTATCCTAATAGGTAGTGAATTACTAGAGTTTTGTTGCGAAATTAAAATTTTAAATTGCAAAAATTAGACATCATACTTAAATTACAGCGCTCTGGTTGATGATAGACATGTACCCAGTAACTTAAGTCATACTAATACATTACAGATTCGCGAGCACACTCAGATGGTCGAGAATGCTTTACTAGCGCGCGACAGTGCGATGGAGCGTGAGAGAAATAAGCAAGAGGAAGTGGACCGTATCCGTGTTGCTATGGAAACCCTGGTTGAGGAAGCAGCAGAAAGGGTCAAGAATGAGGTCAACAGGGTC